GGCGTCTTGAGCATGCGCGGCATGATTGACTTCAGTGCCTCGAGGGCCTGCAGGCTCTTCTTCTGGTACTTCATGTTCTTGGAGAACTCGGTCAAGCAGACAATCAAATCAGTGAACGCGCCCTGCGATATGACAACGCCAAACTTGGTCTTGTAAACCTGGCTGACGTTCTCGTACGCCAAGTTGACAATGGCCTCGTGCTGCTCACGCGCGGCAACGGTGAAGACGCCAAACATGGTTCGCCAGCCGGACCGGATGTTGTCGCCGCGAGCCTGGATCATCTGGATCAAGCACCTCAGGACCATATCCTTGACTGTGATGTTCTGGGCGTTCGACAGGATGTGCTCGAAAGGCTTGAGAAAGTCCTTCTGGAACTTGAAACCGGGCAGTTCCTCAATCTCGAGGAAGTTCATCGACAGCTGACGCAGCGAGTCGAGGGCGAAGAAGACGATATTCGTGTTGTTGTGGCAGCCGACGCGGTTGAAGTGTTCGCCCATGACTTCCCAGATATTCGTCCACTCAAAACGAACACGAGACATGTTGTAATAGGCAATCTCGACAATCTTCTGCAAGCTGTAGGTCCGCGGCGAATCGTTGGAGCCAGAAACGCGAATCTCATCCCAGCTGACCTCGGTTAACGCGCGCGTAAAGTGGACAATGGCCTCGCCGTTCAGGCTGGCCGTGTTCGCGAAGATGCGGTCGACAGCCTTGACGACCGCGTCCGACCGCGCCTCCTGAGCGACCTCGATGGAGAATCCCTGCGGACTGGTGCCGGCGCGCGGGCGAACAGGACGCCGCCCGTGGGTGGACTTGCGCGAATCCCCTGTGCCTTGTCGTTCGAATCGCGCATTCGCCACATCCGGGATGGCATTTTCGTCGACGCCGCCAGAAATGAGCTGCAGTCGGTCCAGCTGACTGATGCAGAGCAGGACATCCTTCCATGATGACCGTAGAAGATCACCCTCGGTCTGACCAAGCTCAAGGATAGCCTTCAGAGCCTCAATGTTCTTGGCATGCATCTCCTGCGGGTTGTTGATGTTGGTGATATTCCTCAGAGCCGAGACAAAAGCCTCACGAGGCGTGGAGAGGTCAAAAGAGCAGGCAATCTTGGTAGCCAGCTTCATGCCCTCAAGACACAGCTTGTTGACCTCAATGTTTTGCGCCTTCTGCATCTGGTTGGACAGAGCCGAGAAGTAGGACATCCAGGTCACGTCGAACATGGGACCGATGTGCTGGAAGGACGTCGCGGGCATGAACTTGACGCCGGCCCGCTGGGCATTGCGGCGCTGCGTCTTGAGGAGGTTCTTGAACAGCTGCTCCGACCGCGACGCAATCTCTACAGACTGCTGCACGTAAGCTTCCCTCTGCAGATCCCTACCCATGTTCGACAGCGCCTGTCCGAGACCTGCGGCGATACCTGTTGACGTCGGCGGAGCGTTGCCCGCCATGGCGGCAGCGTCCCGCTCGCTCTTGAGAACAATCTCGTTACTCTCGATCTCGTCGTAAATTTGAAGCAGATATTCGGGCGGCAAGTCGGCATCGTCGTTGATGCCTCGGTTGTTCTTGATAAAGTCCTCTTTGCTCATCCTCCTGGCGATCTTGGTGCTGTGCAAATCGGTATTCAGGAGAATAACAGAGTAAGCCAAGACATAGGCCGTGTCTGCGTTGGCGAACGCATTGGGGTTGCCCATGACATATCGGTTCGCAAATTTGAGCATGAAACGATCAATCTTTTGGGCCTCACCAGGGAGACGGAACGATTGCAGGAACGTTCGGAGCGCGTCCACGAAGCGCCTCTTGGTAAATTGCATGGTGTCGACAAAGGCGTGCATGATCTCAATGTTCTTGGGCTCGCCTTCGCCGAGATATTCACCAATCTGGGCCTTGTCGAGACGATCTTCCTGGATCAGGAACTTGGCAATGTCTTCTGGGCTGTCGCTTGCAATGAACCCTTCCTTGATCAGCATGGCGATACCTCTCTTAGGCTTGAAATTGAACTGCTTGATGGCGTTGTTGAGGGCCGTTTTCCTCTGCTTGACCTTTTCCAGGTGGGCAGGGTCGTCCTCGAACATCGGCGTACTCGGCGCTGTAGGTGTATCAACACGAGAGTGGCTCTCGCTGACGCTGGGGTCGATCGATGGCCGCAGGTCCTCGGAAGGTCGGGCGTCCACATCGCCATCGACACGGAGCCCCTCTGTATTCCTGTCCGTCCTGACAGATCCAGACCAATCGACCATGGAGCGCAGCGACTCGACGAGAGCGTCCAACGCGACACGCTTGATGACGTATTCCTTGGGAATCTCCGACTCGGGCTCGGCGTGCGGGACGATCTGCGCGACAGACAGAGGCGGCGGCAGAATGGGACGAAGCTGCCACTCGCCAGGTGACGGCGTCCTCGCGGCCTTTTCTTCATACTGTTGCTCCTGGACAGGTGTGATGGGGACCGCTGCTGTCGAGTACTTTGACAGATCCTCAATGATGGTCTGGAAGAGATTGTCGACGTTGCCTTCGCAGTCGTAATTCAGATACACCTCAACAAGACCCCTCGAGTCGGCACAGAACCTGTTGAGAATGGTGACAACCGTGGCCTTCTGTGAGGCCGGGGCGGTCCGCCTTGCCAGCAAGGCAAGATAGATCTCGTTTAAAAAGACGGCGATTTCGAGCTGAAGGACTGTCAGTGCGGCACATGAGCACAGCGAGGGAGGAGGGCACGCACCTTGAACTGCTCCCGCATGAACTTGAGCACGAGCCAGAAAATCTCGGCGCAGACATTAAAGATGCCATCGACCGAGCTAGCTCCGTTGCGGGTCACGCTCAGACAGATGTAGTACTTGATCGCTTGTATGAAAGTCGTAACTTCGTTGGTCCGGGAATTCCTGATGGTACAAAGGGGGGAGGTGAAGACAGTAATGTTGTTGTTCATGAGGGTGTGAATGAGGTGGAGGGAGATGAGCTTGGAGCGCATGGGCTGGCCGCGGACCTCGTACAGCTGCTCGGTAGGCAGGACCTTGGTGGATAGGTTGCAGAAGGATCGGAAGACGAGGTAGGCGTCGCGGATGTAGACCTCGTCCTCGGCTTCGAGCTCGTCGTAATTGTCCTCTTCCTTGGCCGACGACTGCGACTCGGTGCGCTCCATCGTGGCCGGCTTGATCTGGGTGACCATGGTAGGGCCTTCGCCGAGGGTCGAATCGTCAAAGCTCTTCCTCGTCTCGAGATCCTTCAGGGTCAGCTTGGCCTGCGTGGCCTGCGCATCGGGGGCCGGCGCCGGCACAGCGGCACCGTCGCTGGCGACGTCGTTAGCGCTGTCCTCCTCTTCTGCCCCGGCAATCTTCTCTCCCGATCCGTTGATCGAGTTGGCTTGTTCGGCGGGGTCGAATGTGATGTTGCTGGAGCTGTTCTTCGTGTTGGCCAGGTTGAGGCGCGCCTCCTTCATGTGCAGTCGGGTCTTGACTCGCTCGAAGACGGTACCGACCATCTGCGTCAGAGTGCCCTGGGCCATCTGCTGGTTGGCAGTGCTCCGCGACAGGAGGAAGACGTTGTAGACCTGGCGCACAGCCTTCAGGAGGCCGGCGCCGTGGACGACGATCTTGTCGTTCAAGACTGCGGCCAGCAACGACTTGACAATCTGCAGCTGTATCTCGACGGGGGTCGTCTCGCCCTGGAAGCATCCACAGATGGTATCGATGGCCCGTTCGATGAGGGGTGGTGGCTGCTCGCCGTCGGTCCCCTTGTCTCCCCCTCCATCTTCGGAAGCGGCGGCGGCGGCGGCGGCTGGGGGCACGGAGAAGTGTGAATAGGAAATGAGTTTTCCGATGCAATCGAGGGCGCTCGTGATGAGATGGGTGTTGCCCGTCTTGGTGGCCTGGTGCAGAGGCGCAAAGACGACTTCGGGGTCGGGCAGCTGGGGGTCGGCTTCTTTGACGGCTTGGAGGGTCTTGTGCAGCGACTCGGAGAGCTGCTTGTGTCGCTGGGCCTCCTTGGATGCGGCGATGGCCTCCAAGGAGGCAACCAGAAACTTGACGGAGCTCATGAGGGAGCAGTGGAGGATCAAGCTGCCATTCGTTCCAGGCGCGGTCAATGTCGAGCAAAGGAGTGTTGATGTCGGTAGGTAGGTCGACGTGGGAGGGGCTCGCAGGAGGCGCAACTTCTGGGAGCTATGCTTGTCTAGGCTCGACTCGAGATGATGGAGGCTGACAGAAAGGCCAGCGCAGTCGAAGAAGCTGCAGCGAGAGCTCTTCGAAGGGAGTCTGCTGTCGGAGATCAACAGATGAGATGGTGGTGCGGATGTGTGTCCTGTCCTCGGACGAAACCCAAAATTAATTATTTGGATCGAGGCTGGACCCTGGTGTCTGCTGCTGCTTGCTGGCTTGTGCAGGCTGACTGTGACGAGCCAGGCAAGCCAGACCAGGCCAGCTCAAGAGCCTTCCACATCGGATTCGAACACGACGCAAGAGTCCGTGCACCGATGCAGCTCGCCTTTGTCAGCCGAATAGGAGAAGTGGGCCTGCGGGACGCGTCAAGGGCAAGGCCTCAAGAGCAAGGCAAGGCGTAAGGCGTCAAAAGCGTTTGGTTATAGGCGCCAGGCTCATCCGCGCAGCCGCGTCTAGGTGGTCCACTGAGGCTGCGGCTGTCTTCCGACTCAACAAGAGCCTGGCTCCATTCAGTGATTGGGCCATCATTGCAGGCCCCGCAAACCACGACGATCCAAGGTACCCCCCCGCCTTTCATCGTGCGTTGCTCGCTCTCGGTGAATCAGCACCGGCCCAAGACGGAACCACGCCCAGACGCCGCGCCCTGGATTGACCGCGAGACCCAATGAGAATAGCGAGGACTCCCTTCAACTCCATCACCGACCGTCGGCCCCTTCATGACGTCCGCTGACCGGGGCCGGCAGTCTGTCTGTCTGCGGGGGAAGCTACAAAGCCCCCTCCATTGACAGGACATGCTGACCGGATTGCATCCCTACCTTCATCGTCTACTTGCTCTGCAAATTGCCCACCATGCAGGCCGCCAACAAGCTCAAGTCTGTCTTCACCAGGGGCGCTGGCGCCAGCTTGGGCGTCTGGCAGATGATTCCCAATGCCAACGTCTCTCGTGCCCTCGCCAAGAGTCCCGGCGTCGACTGGGTCATGGTCGATTGCGAGCACGGCAACATTGACGGCATGCCGCACGATGCTCCCACACACGGGTCACCACATCTCTGACAAGTACACAGATCGGGCCATGCACGATGCCGTCCCTGCCATTGCCGCCGCCGGTGTCTCTCCCATTGTCCGAATCCCCGACATTCAGGCTTCTCTCGTGAAGCGTACGTAGCAGTTTCCTCACCAACAAGGGATCTCGACTAACAAGCACTGCAGGCGCCCTTGATTGCGGCGCCCACGGCGTACGGCCGCCCCCTTTCGACTTCCAGACGCCGACTCTGCTGACACGACGACAGGTCCTCGTGCCCCTCCTGCGCACCGCCCAAGAGGCCAAAGATCTGGTCCAGGCCGCCAAGTTCCCGCCGTGGGGCCGCCGCGGCTTCGGCTCGCCCTTTGCCATGGAGCGCTTCGCCTCGGCCCCCAGCATGACCGAGTACCTGCAGCAGGCCAACGGCAGCCTCCTGACCATGGTGCAGATCGAGACGCAGGAGGCCCTCGACGCTGTGGACGACATTGCCGCCGTCGAGGGCATCGATGTTCTTTTCGTGGGGCCCTTTGACCTAGGTACATATTGCCTGCCTCTCCTTTTTTTTTATATATATATATATATATTCGCCAAGTGGAAGAGCTCCTTGTCCTGACGAGAAGCAGCCAACAATATCGGCCACCCCGTCATCGACGGTGTCATGAAACCCGAGCTGCACAAGGCCATTACGCGCGTCTTGGAGGCCACCCACAAGGCGGGCAAGAAGGCGGGCATCTTCTGCACGTCGGGCGCGCAGGGCAAGCAGTATGCCGAGCAAGGCTTCGACATGATCAGCGTGACGACCGACTTTACCATTTTGCAGCATGCCGTGGCCGACGCCGTCAGCATTGCGCGCGATGGGCCGAGGCCGGCCAAGGGCACGTCGTACTGAGGTAGTTCTTGTCGAGAATACACTGTGAGCGTAGTTTCGGCAGATGAAAACTCGTACAGTATTTTGATACATCGCTTGAAATCATGATGCTTCCTTCTCTGCGTTTGCATTTTGAATCACTGTTCTCTGCAAACATTTCGAATTCGGCAGGATTATCAGGGAAAAAGTGATTTGCAGAGATGCATTACTTGTGTGAAGCAATTACCCCTTGGAAGAGCTGCACCCTCCTTCAGGCTGAGATGAACCTTTAAGCCGTGTTGTAGAAAGGCAGTTGCATGATGTGTGATTGACAGTATGAAAGATTATCTAGTGCTCCAACGTTTATTCACTGCTTCGAAAAATATCGACTGGTTTGAAGAATCAATAGCTGCGTTCGAACTTATCTTCATGAATTTGAAGTTTTCAACAACCACCACGACGATACCTTCACCCAAGATGGACGCCCTCCCCGAAGCCAAGGAATCATATCGCACATTGAGCTGTTCGTCGTCAGAGTCACGAAGCCTGTCTTCCGAACCAGGTTAAAGAACAACGAGATAATTCGTACGCAGGCAAGAGCGTACAGGTCGTCCTCCGGCGAGATGCGGGCCATCGACACGACGGGTGCGCAATACGGCTTCAGTGACATACTCGTCCCGTCATGCAATACATGATCAATGAGGAAACGAGCCGGTCAAATGGCCTGAGCCGTACACCGAGACGGAGACGTCGGATCTCGACGCTGCCATGGCGCATTGTCGAGAGGTTTGGACAGAAGCTTCTTCAGGGGTCTGAGGAGAAGCTGCAGCGATTTCTCGGAGGCGTCAGGGAGCACATGATGGGCTGGAGGAGGACACAGGCAAAGGCAGATAGTGACCTGGTGGCAGATAGTGATCCGGCAGGAAGTCAGGGTCGTGGAATGGCCTCGAGTATCTCTACCATGCAGGTAGCTGAGGGAGGCAGGCGTCGTACAAGAGAAGGATTGGCTCCGAATTGATCCGAAGTGGAGCCTGCCGCCCTGCAGCTTCCGTGATTTTGTCGGGGTGCGCTAACTCCCAAACAGGCATAGCGCCTCAAGCTCCGTTCCCATCGGACGCCGGTGCGAGCTCAACGCAAAAAACTGCCAGCCCCAACTTCACCCTTGGCCTCGCCTTCTGTTTCCGAGCCCATCGCCTCGAAATATCCCGCGTCGCTTCTTCTCCTCCCATCTCCCTTCTCCCCCCCATCCGCCCTCTTCAGTCCGACCTTCAATTGCTGTCGGTCAATTTGTCCGGAGCCATTCTGACTCTCTTTCTTGGGGTTCGATCCAGCATCCTCCATCACCCCTCAGCTCTCGCTCTGTCTCCTCCTTCCGGGTGATCTTTACCCCATCACCAGAACCATCATCAACACGACGACCACAAATCCGACACAATGATCTCCACTGTTCTGCGGAGGCGTGTCCTGCCTCAGGGCCTGCGCACCAGCCTTTCCACCCACATCATCCGCTGCTATGCCTCGTACCCGCCGCACACCGTCATCAAGATGCCCGCCCTGTCGCCCACCATGACCGCCGGCGGTATCGGCGCCTGGCAGAAGAAGGCCGGCGATTCCATCGCGCCCGGCGATGTCCTGGTCGAGATCGAGACGGACAAGGCCCAGATGGACTTTGAGTTCCAGGAGGAGGGTGTTATTGCCAAGACACTCAAGGAAAGCGGCGAGAAGGATGTTCCCGTCGGCAGCGTAAGCCTCCCATTTTCCCCTTGTGCCTGTGCAACTGCCATGCAGCCTCGCGCGTTCCAAGCTAACAAGTCAGCCCATCGCCGTCCTTGTCGAGGAGGGCACCGATGTCAGCGCCTTTGAAGGTTTCTCCGCCGCCGACGCTGGTGGTGATGCCCCGGCGCCCGCCCCCAAGAAGGAGGAGAAGTCCGAGTCTTCCTCCTCTGCCTCCGAATCCGCCCCCACGCCCGCGCCCGAACCCGAGGACAACGGTCCCGCCGGCAAGCTCGAGCCCGCCATCAACCGTGAGCCCAACGCCTCCATTGGCGCCGTCCGCCTCGCCCGCGAGAAGGGCGTCAAGGTCGCCGACGTCAAGGGCACCGGCAAGGGTGGCCAGATCACCGAGGAGGACGTCAAGAAGGCCGCCTCCTCGCCTGCCGCCGCTTCCGGTCCCGCCTCGGCCGCCTACGAGGACATCCCCATCAGCGGCATGCGCAAGACCATTGCCAACCGCCTGCAGGAGTCTGTCCAGACGAACCCCCACTTCTTCGTCACGAGCTCCATCTCCGTGTCCAAGCTCCTGAAGCTGCGCCAGGCCCTCAACGCCTCGAGCGAGGGCAAGTACAAGCTGTCCGTCAACGACTTCCTCATCAAGGCCATTGCCGTCGCCTCCAAGAAGGTGCCCCAGGCCAACTCGAGCTGGCGCGGCGACGTCATCCGCCAGTCCTCGACCGTCGACGTCTCCGTCGCCGTCTCCACGCCCACCGGCCTCATCACCCCCATTGTCACGGGCGTCGAGGCCCGCGGCCTCGAGTCCATCTCCTCCCAGGTCAAGCAGCTCGCCAAGCTCGCCCGCGACGGCAAGCTCAAGCCTGAGCAGTACCAGGGTGGCACCATCTCCATCTCCAACATGGGCATGAACCCCGCCGTCGACAACTTCACCGCCATCATCAACCCGCCCCAGTCCACCATCCTCGCCATCGGCACCACCCAGAAGGTCGCCGTCCCCGTCGAGAACGAGGACGGCACCACCGGCTTCGAGTGGGATGAGCAGCTCAAGGTCACCGGCAGCTTCGACCACAAGGTCGTCGACGGTGCCATTGGCGCCGAGTGGCTCAAGGAGTTCAAGAAGGTTCTCGAGAACCCCCTGCAGCTGCTGCTGTAAGGTGCTTTTCGAAGAGAGATGGACAGAACAGCGGTGAGGGGAGTAGGAGCCTCCGGCGCGAGGTGGCAAAGACCCATCGGGCCGTCTCCCGACCTTTTTGAGATGATGTGAAATATACAAAAGGTGTACGGCGGGTCGGAGGGCACAGGAAGAGAATGTGTATGTGAGAAAGAGAAGTGAATTGAGGGTGGTGAGAGAGAGGGGCCAGGCGCTTGCATGTCTTATCGAGAAACGGCTTGCTTGGCTCGGCTCAGTGGATACAAGGTTTGCGCACCACCGCAGGCCTGCGTCCCGTGTACAGTGATCTCTGGTTAATGCTGCGGTTTGCTCTGCGGAAAAAAAAGAGGTTTTCTGTCTTGTACATTGGTGTTCCCTCTCCCTTTTCCCCTTTACCTAGAATACAAGCAGAGGCCGTTCCGTTGCAATGCATCTTGTCTTTTGTCTAGTTGTGCTGGCTGTGTTGATGCACGCTCCCTTCCGGATGTCTTCCAAATGACTAACAGGCTGTCAGTAAGCTACAGACATGGGTGTTGATGCAAGTGTATAGTTCGCATCTGGCCACCCTCGACGCGATGCTTTCATGACAGAAATGACATCAAACCTGCGATTTCGTTGAGTAATCATGCTTCAGTTACATGGGCATCCAAAAGGCCCAGAGACGCTCTGATTCGCTTCACCACTCCGTCTCCCAGTTCTTCGCATGTGAGTCGTCCCCCTGCATAGACAATGCGCAGGAAAAGCTCCCGAGCGTCTGCCCTGCACCCGTGCCAGCGCGTCCACTCTCCGCACAAGAAAATCATAGTGTAAATCCTTGACCTGCCGCAACACAGGAGGCACCCGCCGAGTTCACTTCCACTGTTCGGTACATGGGAACCGCTGTATCCCAACCGACGTCGCCGGATAGGCACCCACAGAGCCCAGCACCCGCAGCATCCCTTGCGACAACGTCCGCAAGTGCGGCGCCCCAGCCGGGGACTATGACAGACATTGGGCCCCTCGTCCTCGCACATGACGGCGCTACAAGGGGCGACGTGCCTGGCGTATGGTCTTGGTAGCGCGCTTTTCAGACGAGGAGCGGCAGGGCTGAGACGTACGGCTGTGCGTGAGGTGACGACGTTGTGTTTGGCGAAGAGCGTTTCTAGAGGCTGCGAGGGTGGCGCCGTTGCATGTAGCCGGCTGAGCTTGAGACGGCGATGGGTTTATGATCTTGTCTGTCGAAATTGCTGTCGAGTAGGAAATGGAGATGTGAGACGCCCTTCTGCACCGCCTCGTGAGGGCACAACAGACACGAGTGACCAAGGCGTTGACGTCAGCTCTTGGGTCGGTTGGCTTTGCGCTGCAGCTTTCGTACTGCTGGTGCGGCCATGGCATGGATACTTGCGAACAGAGGCATTTGGGAGGGTACGGGACGAGGAGCTTGGGACATGGATCCATCGCGTCGTCGAGGATCGTGCCTGCGCAACGGAAGCTGTGCCACGTCCCGGTTCTGCGACAGCACGACACCAGATCCGCGAGCGAGTTGTCCTTCCAACGGTGTTGTATTTGTCGGGCAGGGTTTGCAGAGCTGTCATCTGCCATGTGATGTAGGACAAACGTCAGAACCCCTGGAGCCATGACTGATCTCCGCAAAACCTTCTCGACTTCTTCTTATGCCGAACTGTGACAAGTGCCTGTTATTATAACGTCTGGTAGACTAGTTTGCGATGATCGTGGTTCATCTGTTCTGCTAGCAAGGGCTTGAACTGGCGTTCGGCTCATCAGGCTGAGCTGCTTCGCCGTGATGGCGGTTCCAAATTACGTACTCACATGGTACACGACGGAGTCTGTGTTATTTCGTCTCATCTCAGTCTACGATATATCTTTAGCATAACCTGAGCAATCCTCTAATCGTCAACTAGTAGGCGTGAGAATCCCACCAAGTTTTGCCACAGGCGCGAATACCATCTCCGCTTATTTGGATGAAAGGCCCACAGTAGGAAGGAAAGCAGCGGGCCAAAGGCCGATCAAGTCTCGTACCGAGTCCGAAGAATATAGAAATCATCACCAGCACTGCGCTCCTGGCGTTATGAGAAACACCACCATAGCTGCCTCCTGGCGTCAGTCAGGAGAGGACTCCTGAGGGCAAGAAACCGTCTTGAGCACGTATCAGCTGCCCTTACATGCAATAAGCAGAAAAAAAACCACAAAGCTGCCTCATATAATCGCAAACATTCATCATATTCAATCTGCAAGGATGTCAATCTTTCCCAAGACAACCCATAGAGCAGGTGGGTGGCTGTTGTAGCCTGTCTGGGGCACAGTACGAGCACGGAGGACGCCCTCTCGGTGGGCGTGCGAAATCAACTCCAACGGTGCTGTATGGCCCCTGGGCATGATAGCACCCGAATGGCTTGGCGATACAGACCAGAGCTGGATACCGACTGCATGAGTGTATGTCACGAAGTAGTAAGATCAACCTCCCGCATCGTCATGGCATGACAGCGTCGTGTAACCTCATTTCCGCCGTAGAATCAGGCACAAGAATAGCATGACGAGTGCTGTGGCCCGGGCATAGGCCAAAGAACTGGGACCTTTAGCATCAAGACACAATGGCAGATACTTTGCGCACCATCCGACTTCCACACCAGTCAAAGGATGGTCCCTATAGTCTTGAAAACACGACAGGCTTGTTTTGGCATTTATCCCACTACGCTTGCTATGAACAGTCGCAAATCTTCGGCCTCCTCTTCGACAGTCCGATCAGGCAGGCGCTTGAGGGCGGCTCGCAGCTCATCATCACCTCGCAGGGCAACCAACAAGATCTCCCTCAAGGTCTGCACAATATGCTGGCTGCTGCTCCCCGCCTCCTTCGCCCTGACTCTCAACAGACTGACCAGTGTCTCAAAAAAGTCTATCAGACTGAGGTGCATGAGAAGGTCGCTCTTGTCGACCATTTTCAGCGCCACAAACTGCAGCAGGCCGCTTTGCCTGGCCTCGGCTTCGGGGTCGACGCCGCCCATGAGCTCGTCGTCACTCGGCTTCGGAGGCGGCTGGGTCACGAGGTCAAAGTCGCGTAGTGCCAGCCGGGGCAAAAGTCGAAGGAGCCTTCCCTGTGCCAGGGATGTCTGGCGGTCGTCGAGAACCTCGCCAGAGATGTCCCGCCCCAGAGGCAGGGCTACGAGTAGATTGTAAAGATCCACATTGTGAGTGAGTCGACGCCAAAGAACGCCTTCGCCGCGGGGCTTGTGGATGTCCACCAGCTCGTCGTTTCCGTGGTCGCCGTTTGTGGACCCATTTGTCCAGGGCACGCCGTTGACCGTGATGGCCTCTCTTGGTATGCGCAGCGGTGGTGACTGCGAGTCAATCTCCAGCAAGTCACCGAGGACGCGCGTGCCCCGTTCGCCCACTTCGACTTGTGGCGCAGACAGCCATCGCCGTATGAAATGCTCAAGGAGTCTCGGCATCGAAGCTAGGATGGCGATATCGGCAGGGGTTGTGGCCTTGTGCAGGACGGCCATGGCGAGCAGGTTGGCGGAAGGCGCGGGTGAGTTAAAGGCTGTGATGAGGGCCGTCTCGTCGGCTAGGGAGAGTGTTTGGGTGAAGGAAACATGGCGCAGCAGCCGGAGGGACAGGGAGACGGGAACAGCCGGATCCTTTCGTGTCGTGAGAAGAATGGTCGTAAGCTTGGGGAGGAGGGTTGGCAGGAGTGGTGGGACGTTGGATTCTAGCAGCAGTCAGTTGGCAACCATTGGGCGCGAATAGGGCACCGTCTATGGGGGTGTACCAGTAAGCTGCAGCTCGACATCGTCAAACAACTTTGGCTTGAAGTCGGCGTCGGGGTCCTGGATAGCTTCGTCGAGGTGGGCGGAGAGCTGATCGAGGCCGGCGATGGGCACATTGCCGTCAACGATAGACGGCACGATGTTGCCTGACATGTTGTACGAAGTGTAGGCCCAGAAGGCCCTCGCGCGGGAGATGACGAAGATGAAAGGGTGTGAGATGAGAATGCGTGAAGACTAACCGCCACAGTCAGGAAGGTAGCGGATATAACGACGGCACCAGCAGTCAAGGCAGAAGTGGTACGTCGTAAGGATGCCTGAAGCTGATGGCAATGGGTACCCGGTAGGTGGGGGAAGGTCGTCAAATGGAGGGGAGCAGCAGCAGCAGCAGCAGCAAGGGTCCAGCGCGTGGTCGACAGGCACCCTTCAGCAGGCGCTAGTGGCCCAAGCTCCTGCCCTGCAACTGCTGCAAGACATGGACATGGTGTGGGGCTGCCATCGACCATCGCCCATCGCCTTTGCCCATCGTTCATCGTACCCGACCGCGAGCGGAATTTACCCCGCTAAAAAATAAGTCATCTTCGAAGGCTCATCGCCTGCATTCCGACAAATCGGAGAGACCATTGCGTCCTTGACCCTACGCCACGCCTTCCAATCCCTCCCGAACGCTCAAACCCTATAATACAGTATCGCCAAGACACTTGACCTTACCTCATGTCCCGCGGCGGAGGCAGAGGCGGCGGTCGCGGCGGCCGAGGTGGACGTCGCGGCGGCGGCGGCCCCCAACTTCCCTGGGAAGGCGAAGACGTCGACGCCCGTCCCTCCGAGCTCTTCCCTGTTCGTTGATCCCTCTTTGCTGCCGAGGAACCATATTGAAGTACTAACAGAAGACAGGCCTACTCCGTCCCCGAGGCGAAACCTCTGACATCGCAAGAAACCCGTTCCGTCTCAGCCTTCCTCCTCCTCCGCCACCAGATCCACGACGGGCCCCTCTACACGACACGCAAGCTCTACACAGCCGCCGACTCGGCCTTCTCCTCGTCCCACAAACACTACGGCCAGGCCCAGCTCAACGCCAAGTACGCTGCCGGCGGCGGCGGCGCCCGCACAAAGGCCAACCAGGACCCCTTCACCGCCGTGCCAACCTACGCCCAGCGCTTCCTGCGCGCCGAGCGCACGCTCCCCGACTTTGGCGCGCGGCCCTACTGTCCCGAGTTTGTGCCCAAGGAGCTGCACGCCACGTTTGAGGGCGCCGATGGACCCGGCGGAGGCGCCGCCGGCGGCGGCAGGAAGAGGAAGCGCGGGTTCCAGCTGTCGTCTATACGGGCGCTGCCCACGGCGGAGGATGTCTTTGGCATTACGCTGCCCGAGGACGAGTGGGACGAGGAGGCCGGGGGCGAGGATGCGACGAAGAGGAGACTGGAGGCGCTGAGTAGGATGGGGCGGGAGCCCGAAGGCGAAGAGGCCGAGATGGGCGAGGACGACGAGGCGGAGGAGGAGGAGCAGGATGAGGAGTACGACGATGAGGATGCCGGCGATTACAATGCCGAAGAGTACTTTGAAAACGGCGACGACATGGATGACGACGGCGGCGATGACGACCAGGGCGGGGACGCCTACTGATTGATCGACACACACACACACACAGTATGACCATTGCCCGCGAGGGACATTGTGCAACGTGGATACGGGAGGGAAAGGGGGGCGTTTGACCGTCAACCGGGGTTGGTTGGCGCGGACTCACTGAGCCAGGTGGCTTCTAGATACCCTACTATATGAATGAAAGCATATTTCTGTCATGTGCATGGCCCCCGATCAACGTAGGTACACGTGTGTGCCATATCAGCCAACGTTCATGTCTTACACAGGGTATCTCTGGCCTATTTGCCCCTCTGAACATCAAAATCATTTCACTTGCTATGCATCCCTAGCGATGCCCCGAAACGCCAAACCAAGTTCAACCCTGCCCGTGACCGTGCCTCTGCCGCAGACCTTTCTCGTGTCCAGCTCCAGCAGGCTGTCTCGTCTGCATTGAATTCAACCCGGTCGAGACAAGTCGCACTGCAACAGTGCAAATGCACCGGGGCCACGAGCCAAGATCCAACGCCACCCGTACCCCAGAGCCAGTGTTCCTCTCTCACTTGCGCGAAGGCAGCGTGCGCAGCTGAAGTTCCGTCAACTTCTCACGCGACTCGACAATCAGGCCAGCCGCGCGGACAATCTCGTCGCCCAGCGCCTTGACCGTGTCGAGGAGCTCGACGGCGAACCCAAAGCCGGCAAAGTGAGGCGCTCCGTCGCGCAGGGCGCGCATCCGCTCGTAGAGGCCGTTCTCGACACCGGGCATGTGCTGCTCCATCTCCTTGACCTTCTGGACCTGGAACTGGTGCATCTGGCTGAGACGGTCGGCCTCGTTCGAGAAGAGCGTAATGCAGTCCTCGAGAGCGGGCTCCTCTTCCTTGTCCTTGGATTTGGCGGCCGGCTTGTTCGCCGTCAGCCAGGTCGTGTGGTAGTGAGCAGGCAGCTTGAGCTGCTCGGCGCCGGCAAAGGCGGCCTTGGCAATGTCGGCGTCGGACTTGACCACCTCCTTCAGCTGCGCCGTCATCTTAACGTCGTCTTCGAGGGTCGTCTTGACGCCGTCGAATTTGCGCGTCAGCCACTCGACGTCGTGGGTCAGGCGCGCCAGGTCGCCTTCGTGAGCCGTCATGAACGACTTGATCTGGCCGGCCTGGCTCATGTACTGTTGGATAATGTTGTCGCACGTCTCGATTTCGCGTTGCAGCTCGGGGGTGAGATCGTTAAACTTGGTCGTGCCCTTGACGTTGGCGAGGTCGATGCGCACACCGGGAATGGCGCCCTGGTTCGTCGACTGGCCCATCGTGAGGCCGGCGCCGGTTGACTGCTGCGCAGGGGCAGTGCTGGAGGCCCCGCTGGAGTGAGTTAGTGGGAGAAGACAGGAAATGGGCGAGCTGGGACGTACAAGAGTCCAGCCGGCTTTTGCTGGGTTGTAGAACCGAATAGACCACCACCACTCTGCTGCTGCGGTTGTTGCTGCTGCTGAGTGTTCAGTGCCGTCGAGGCGCCGAACAACCCACCTCCAGTCTGCTGTTGGTTGTTTTGCGTCGTCGAGGCACCAAACAATCCTCCACCAGTCGACTGCTGCTGCTGCTGGGGTTGACCGAGAGTAGATCCACCAAAGAGACCACCGCCACCTGTTGAGCCCTGCTGCTGCGTTTGCTGATTGCTAGCCGTGTTGCCAAAGAGGCCGCCGCTGGCCGGCTGCTGCTGGGTCTGGGTATTTGCGCCGCCACCGAAAAGGCCACCGCTGGCTGGCTGCTGGGCTGTGGTTGAGCTCTGCGTGTTGCCGAAGAGACCCCCGCCACTGCTCCAAAGAAGATGACCACGTCAGACAGAGACCTTGCGAGCTATCGTCTGCAGGAGAATCGCAGAGCACGATAATAATCTCGGGAACGTACCTCGGAGTGTTGAGCGTGAGCCCTGCTGGTTTGTTGGCGGCGAACATTTCGACTAAGGTACACAAAGTAAGACACGGGCCCCGATCGACGACAAGAATTGTCAATCGCGTACCTTGCGGCGTTGGAAGTCTTTGGCTGTTGTCCTTGGTTGAGGCCCTCGCAGGATGGCTTCGCTTGAGAGGGAATGTAGTCGCGACAGGTCCAGGCACAAACGTGAAGTCGAGCTTTGGTGTGCTTGGCATCTGATTGGCTGAATTGGGGTGAGAGCTTGGAGTTGGCGGGCATTCGGTGGCAGGGGCTGCACCGAGAGACGCTAAGCCCTTCCCGTCCACCCCCGAGGTTGTGCCGCTCGGTATGCTTCGGTGTAGAGGGAGCTTGGAGCTTGGGATCAACTTCGGCTGTTGTCCCTGGTCGTTGTGGATGGAAGCTCCCAGTCCTCCTCTAAAGCCTGGTTCCATCATAGCGACGTCGCCCTCTGCATCCATAGGGTTCCGCCGCAGCGAACGTACTCTACCCCATTTCGAAGCCATATTGGAAAGAAGGCGCAATGGACGTTGACGACGACGAGGATTTCTACTCTCCTGAGCCTACAGAGGCGACGGAAAAGGTGACAAAGACGGAAGCTTCAGCGTCGCCGACACCAGTTCCCAAGGAGGAGCCGAAGACGGAGCTGGAGGAAGGCGAGGAGGAAGATGAAGGTGGTGCGATGGATGAGGACGACAGTGATTCAGTCAGTTCCTTCTGCCTTGAACTACCTTATATCACTGGAGCCTCTACTGACCCTCTGTCGTAGGATATCGACATCATCACGGAGCGCAAAGACGGCACAAAAGCTGCCCCACCAACGTATGCCCCGCGAACGTTGTGCGCGCATCTTGAACCTTCCAATACTGACGTGACGCGCGCATCAGACAATCGAGGTACAGCGACATTCGCAACATCCCTCAAAGGACCGCTTCTAGCGACATCGCCGTCAAACCAGCAGCCCCGGCTGCGCCCTCGTCCAAGTCCCCCGCACCCAAGTTCGAGTCTCCTGCAGTCGCCCTGGCTGTGCCCAGTGCCGACAAGGTCGCCGCCGCCGCATCAAGTTCGAAGATTGACGTCAACGGCAATCCCATCCATGCAGGCTCGGGCAAGCACATCACGGCAGTCAACATTGACGAGGGTATGTTGGCGCTTGTAACCACGCCTCACGCGGCATATGGCTAATGGACAAACAGACCTCGGCGATAACGAAAAGCCATGGCGTAAGCCTGGTACCGACATCAGCGACTACTTCAACTATGGCTTCGATGAGTTCACGTGGGCATTATATGCTGCCAAGCAGGAGGCCATCCGCGGCGAGTTTAGCGGCGACCTCATGATGGCGGGCAACAACAAGATGATGGAAGACTTCAGCAAGATGATGATGATGGGAGGCGGTATGAACATGCCCGGCGGCGCGCAAGGTGCGCAGGGCCAGGCTGGTATGGCCGGCATGGGCGGCATGGACGGCATGCCGCCTGAGATGCAGCAGATGATGCAGCAGATGATGAGCTCTGGCATGGATCCCAGCCAGATGGACCCCGCAGCCATGTCGGCCATGTTTTCTGGCATGCAGGGCCAAGCTGGTAACGCCAGCGTTCCGGGCGCACAGGGACAGAACTTTGGGCAGGGTTTCGGAGGCAACCAGGGCCAATTTGGCGGGTTTGACCAGCAGGGTGGCATGGGCGGTGTCAACCGTGGCGGCTTTGGTGGCCGGGGTCGAGGTCGGAGGTGGTGATTATTGTCGACTGAAGATGAAGTCTTGACAAAATCACAGACACCTCGTTCGGCTTGGCGTTGCGGCGTTCGGGTAACAACTCCCCGATCAGAGGGAAACAAAAAAACTGGCTGCCCTTGACAATAGTCCATGTAGAATACCCAATGAAAGATATGATAACCTCAATATTCCTTGTATTGCTACCCACCGAGTACGCGTGTGACGCCGCAACTGCATATGATCACTTGGCTCTCATGCACAAGACCTGTTCATTGCATCTTTTTGGATAATGCCCTCCCTAAACTCCAGCTATTTGCGCGCGTATGAAAGATGCGTGATGCGAATCCTGTACCAGATCAGGTCGTGCAATCAGGCTGTACAGCTTCACGCAGTGAAACTTATATACCGATACCACCCATGTCTTCTTTTGGCTGATAGCAAAAGATGTTTTACAGGAAATCAGCCTGAAATTACTCGAAGAGGACTGAGCTATTCTGGGTCCGCCCATATATTGGGTGCATATCTCTTCACGCCGTCCTCCCACAATCTGTCCCAGTCGGGAAAAGCATCCGGCTCTTCGATGAATTCCAACCACTGTGAGAGATCTGGATGTAGCCTCTTCTTCCAGAGTCCCTGGGCTACCCACTTCTCACCACCCTCTTTGGCACCGATACTGCCCGTTGGTGACAGGTTGAGTTCAGCCAAATCTCTAGAAATACCGAAAACACCGGGCGTTTCCGAGGACGGCAACCCGAGGCCGAGTCTGAATCTGTCGTGCGGCTGCATGATGTACCCGTCTTGTTCATCGGTCCAGAACACCCAACGCAACCTTTGAAACTGCCCTGCCACCACCGCTCCGGCAAGTGCCTGGAAGTGCGAATCGGGAACCGCATATACCGCCTGACCGAGGCTTCTCATGACCAGTATCTCAAGTGACGAGGGCAGAAAGTTGACCAGTCTCTGGGTGTCCTTGGTCGAGGGGCCATCTTGTTCGAAGGGGTAAACAACAAGGCTGTCAATGGAGAGAACCTTCAATCCCTCAAACTCTTTAAGAGTGGCGATCGGATAAGAAAGAGCTGTCTCGGCTGCTGGATGCCAGCTCTGCATGCTACCCAAGGGTTCGTTCACCCAATACATGGGCAAGAGTGTCAATGATTGCAGTGTGCCCTTCGCAGGCAGCAAGAGCAACGCTTCCTTGATCAAGCGGGGGGTGGGGCAATGTGTGTTTTGCGAGACAAAGCTGACGTGTTGGAGGTGCGATAATTCGCGTAGCAGGTTGGGGAGAAACGGGCTCCATATGCCCTTGAAGATGAGCTGCAGAGAGGTGAGCTGAGACAGCCCAGGACTCCGGCTCGTAGGAGAAACCACAAGAGCACCCGATCCGCAGCAAAGAAACTGAACGTTGGGAGCGATGGCGATGAGAGTCTCCTCAGCCATGCTCCTGGGGCCGTAAACGTTGCAGGGCCCATGGTCGTCTGAGTCGTTACAAGCATCACTGGTGGTCTTGTCGACTTCGACCTCGATCCTGGTAGCCTTCAACACGTGGTGTTTGCCACTACCATCAACGCGTTTCTTTGCGAATAAACCGAATGTCCAATCCTTGGGCAGAGACAGAGATACCCTGTCGGCAGTACGCGTTTGTAAGATCAGCACTTGGACAAGCGTTTCGACGATGTTATCCCCAGAGCAGATGTTTTTCAACTCGCTGTCGCTAGCTTCGAGCCCTAGATTTGTGACAGCCTGTTTAATGAGCAGCGTCTGCCGCTGAGTAGCGTCGGATAATTGCTCGGGATAGCAACATGTGCAATCCTCGTTGAGCGCACCAATGTCAACCGTTCTAACAAGCTGGGCTAGGCGAGGCTGTGTATCGAAGAGGTAGACGGCAGAAAATAGCCTGTCGTGAAGATCCCTTAGACTATCGGCTCGGCGGCGGTGAATAAGCAGTGAGTGAAATAGAATCGGCTGGGCCACGTCTCGTAGAGCCTTCGAGGTTAAACTCATCGCAATGAGGCTGCTACGCTCATCCCATATACTGGTGGCCGACCGCATCCTCGGTTTCCACACTGGCGCTGGTTCATGGCGGCAGTGGATGCATAGTTGCGATGCAATAAGATGTAGAATTTCTAGTGGTAAATCGAGTAGTTGAATCGGATGCTCCATGCTCTGGTTCTGTGTCAGACAGTATAGGTTCTCGCGATGCTGGCTGTAAAGCTATTGTTGTTGGATGACAAGTGTGACTCAGGCCAGTTGGTCTTCCGTCGAGCCAAGTGATGAAGGATTGCTGCCTGTTTGGGATGCAAAAGGATCCTCGACTTCGCCTACCCCTCCACTCTGTACCCCAGCCCGCCCAAATTGCTCTCGTGGGATTGAACGAACCCGAGAATGGCGAGCTTCCTGCTTTATGCCACCCAAATTAAGAATTCTGCTCGTTGTCTTCTTAACTCAACAGCGAAGTTCGCATAGCATCCACATGTTGCACAGTAACGACAGCTTGTAAGAAGCAAAGACCCCGCATCAGAGGGCCCAATGATTGAGAAATGTGCAAAATCAATTGTCGCGCGCTAGTACAATAATATATCCTTCCTTTGGTGATAGTTTCATACCTAACCCGACGGTAATGTTGTGTTCACCACGCCTATTGGCTTGTAACTGTTGCCCCCTTCCCACATCCACTCATAGATCACAACAGATGTGTTCTGCACAATCGTGCCGTACACTCTGCCAGCCTGGTTGGCAGTCAAAGCCATCGGATTCCTGTTATTCGCCATGGTGGGAATATACTCCTTGGCTGCCCACTGTCCATATTGATATGCCATCAGCCAGGCATTTTGGTAAGAGTAGTTGTACAGCAGGCCATCTAGGCCCAGCACCTGAACTTTGAGATCGTCAGATGTATCATTCCAGCCCGCCGTAAAGGCAGCGAGGACAGTATATGGAGTGCCCTCGTAGAATCGCATTGATGAGCCTGTATCTGCAACACCATAGACTTGGGTGACATCTGTTGCGCTGTGGATCGAAACTTGTCTCAAATAACCAAATTCGGAGTAGTAGAAAAGACTCAAGCTGGGATCACCTCGTTGATACACAGGTGTCAGCGCCATGGGGGTGTTCCATGATGGTAGGTAGTCCTCGAATGGCATGACCGAAGCAGCCCAGACCGGGGCGCTGGTATCGCCGTTGGCTAGGAGCAGGTGCATGGTGCCATTGTGGTCCTGATACGCCACCATGTCCAACGCAAGCGTTCCGAAGTTCTCGTTGCCGTTGGAAACGATTGATGAGCCTTCTCCCACGGGGACCGCGTCAAAGCTAGCAATGCTCGAGTTGGCCCAGAACTCGAGCACGCTGCCGTTGGTGTGCGAGCTGCTGATCCACCCGTTCAGTGTCCTGTCCTCTGTGACCGCGTACAGCCGCACCTCAAAGCCATTGTCATCGTTGTACCAATATAGATTGGAGGAAAGAGGCGAGCCCTTTTCGATGCCAAGGGTTTCGTTACTGACGACTGCAGCAGTCCACTTCTCGTCGGAGGAATTCCACAGCGACCGGCAAAGGACCTTCGAATTGAGTTGGTAGAACACAACAATATTGTCATATCCGAATTCGTCGGTAAAGTTCAGAGAAGACAGCGTCGTATTCAAGTAGACCGCCTCTGGTGATGTACTGATGTTGCCGAGATTGGCGATGCCGTCATCGTAGTAGGAGGCGTAGTAGTCGTTGTCGTTGGCCACGGCCAAGCCGACACCCAGACCCACGGACAGGCCGATGATGACAAGAGAAGCGACGATAAAAACAATCCAGAAGACTTTGCGTCGCATACCGCATATCGTCCCGTTTTTCCTGTCGTCCGTCCGTCGCCGCTTGATGACCTTCTGTGTAGCGCCTGTCAAGTTGTCGACCTTGCCGGCGACCCTGAAGGCGAGCGACTGCTTCACACCGTCGTCGTCGTCAGAGCCTGGCACGGATTTGTCTCGGGCAGTTGATTCCGAGACAGTCGAGCGGGATCCGTCCAGTTGTGTCGTCGACAAGTCGGACGGATATGGGGCCGTCGAGTTCAAGTCGCCCTGGTCGTATGCGCCCGACGCCGGCGGCGCCGCCGCTCGGGGGTTGACCTGGTGTGGCCTTCGTAGATGATCCGGCATGACGAACTTGAAGTCCTCCTCAAAGTACTTCTGCTTCACATCCTGCTCCCCAATGTCGCCCGTCAGGCCACGGTACTTGTCATTGTCAGGATGCACGTCGCCGATCGTAAAGTGTTTCGGTGCCGGCTCGGCAACCTGCTGTCCTGCAGGGCCGCCGTTGTTTGTCGAGTCGGTCGCGTTCGAGGAAGACATCATGTGTGAGCGGCGCGTCGGCGCCTCGTCGTGTCGTCTTCGGCGCGACGGCTGGGCATCATCGAGGGACGTCTGGTATGTATGGCTGTGGCGTCTGGCGTGGCAGGTGTTTCGTCACTTGGGGATTTGTCGAGGGTGAAGGATCGGGACTGACCCAGGCCCGGCAGAGGAGGGGCCTTTTGGATATTGGGCATGGCACTGCCTCATTTGCCCCCCCTGGTCTACCTTTTCAAGCGGCCGATGGACTCCGCCGCCAAGAGCTAAACCTTTTCCGGGTTGGGATCCGTCGCCCAATATAGGCAGTTTGCATGATTGGGTGGTGAATCCCTGAGATGAATCCTTTCGGCAGTTTTTGTCTCCTTGTCAAGAATGAATGAGATTGACGAACATGGTGTCGTTAGGTGGTCGCGAATACTGCGAAAACCATCTTCGTCAGGCTGAGGTCAAGGACGGCTCAGGTCGATGGCCCACAGCGTTTACTACGAGTCACGAGATGAAGGAGCAAAATTGAGACGCGCCGGGTTAGTTCAGGCACTCGACGCCACTGGTAAGGATCATGACTGGCTAGATCCTCGTAGCAGAGATTCAGGGGTGTGAGACGAGGATGCCACCATCAAATACAAGACAAGTAGTCGCCCGAAGATATCGGTCCTCCCTCTCCACGCTGCTCTACGCTGATAAGGTGAGGCTCGTCGCATCTGATCGATACTCTTGAAAACAAAAGAGAACCGCTCCCGGATCAACATCGTCGGCCAGCAGCTAGTGCGAAAATGGTCGCTGATGATACACCTGCGCCTCCTCTGGCCTCCCCTCCTCTGGCACGTCAACATAACGTGGATCTATGTACCACGCAGAATCACCGTCGCTGAGCGTCAGACTGGTGCCGCTGCCCAGCCACCTCAGTAAGTTGCCTTTAGGCTCGACACTTTCGAAGACAAAGTCCTCCCATCGCGGCGCTCGCAGTGCCTCGAGGCAATGCAGCGACGATCCGGGCCAGAGCCCGACGATACGATCACCCTTGTCGTATGAGCGATACCAAGACGAGCAGTCTTCCGTGTACACCGTCTGTTTGAAGTACTCATCGATATAACGACTGAAGTCGGCGACGAGTTCCGGCCGGATCTCACAAGTCGCGTAGTCCTCCTTCTGCAACTTTCGGATCATCTTGACCGCATAGTCAGCCTGGCCCTCGAGGACGGAGAGGAGGCTGCCGGAGCCAAGACCGGAGTTGGGCCCGCCGATGAGGAAGAAGTTTGGAAATCCGTCCACGGCAATGGCGAGATATGTCTCTGGATGAGGCGACCATCTCTCCTGTAGCGTTACGCCGTTGCGACCAGTGACGGGAAACGAAGGTGCCGCCTGGACATCAAAGCCAGTGGCGCAGACGATCGCATCCAGGTCAACCTGCTCGCCCGTCTGGAGCTTGAGACCCGTCGAAGTCAGCTGTTGAATCGGCGTATTAGTGAAGGTCACGTTTTTCTCTTTTAGAGCCTCGAGGTATCCTGGGCCGGGAGTAAGTCTCCGGCATCCAGGAGCAAATGTTGGAATGATGGCTTCATAAAGGTCAGGCCGGCCTTTCAGTTGTTCCTTCATGTGGTTTGTAAACTTCTCCAAGGCAATGGCTTGTTCTTCCGAGCCTCTCAGGGCGAAACGATACTTCTTGGAAGCCTCTTCTTCGAGCGTCTTGCGAAGTTTGTGAAAGAGCTCGGGATCATCTGTGACGCGCTTTTTATGCTCCTCGGGAACTGGGTTTTTCTTATGATTAGTTGCTGGGATCTCCGATTCAGATGAGCACATCTGACGCACATATGTTGATCTTGGGGTCCATCCCCATCTTGGTCATCGCTAGATCGCCAAATGAAGTCGAAACCCAGGTCGGGCTTCGCGCGAAATTCCAGACCTTGATCCCGTCAAGCTTTTGAATCGCGGGCACAATCTGAATAGCGCTGGAGCCATTACCGATGACTCCAACTCGCTTGTTGCGCAAATCAACACTGCCATGTACCGATCAGACCAATAAGATCTCAACCAGGGTCGCTGCTGGCTTACCTTTCATCCCATGCAGCAGAATGCATTAGTTTACCCTGGTAGTCTTCTATCCCTTTGATCTTAGGCCATTTGATCTGGTTAAGGCCGCCCTTGGCCGAAATGACAAGATCAGCTGTCTCCTCAAAGACAAGGCCGGACTTGAGATCCTGCACTTTGACCTGCCTGTTTTTGAGGATTAGCAAACCTAGGCAAGCCATGAAAAAGGTCTCACAGGGAAGTCGCTTCATACCATTGCCTTTGACGAGCGTTCCAAACACAGCTCTCGACAGCGTGGGATGTCTTGATGAATCGGTTTGCGCCATATTTTTGAGCGACTCCCTGCATATACGCGCGGATTTCCGGTCCTGGGGCATACAGCGAGGACCAGTTCGGGGTGGGGGCAAAACTGAATTGATAGGAATAGGCTAACCCAAGTCTCTGTCAGCCTTGAAGTGTGCCACGGAAGCTGTAGGAAGTCGGGCGAATGTGCTTCGACACTTACATGGGATGTCGCAAGCGATGCCAGGGTAACGGTTCATCCACCTGAAAGCTGATGAGCAGCGAGCTTCCAATCATTCCGCTTGAGGGAACCCGACCTACCATACACCTGCCGTCTCCTCATTCTGTTCGTAAGTCTGGATCTTGACATTCTTCAATCGCTGGGATAGCCTGCGACAAACATGTTAATGGTCAACATGTCCAATTGGGGTCACGTCCACGAACCGGATTGTTGTGTATATCCCCGAGAATCCCGCCCCGATGACGATGACCTTCAGTGGCCGCAGATTCTCAATTGGCTCATCCTTGATGGTGAAAGGCTCAGACGCCGCAAATTGTTCACCCATCTTGTCGGGTTTATGCAGGTTCCTCCTGGCACGTGAGGTTCTGCTTGTCACGATATCTCGAAGTTCACAGCAAAAAACACACTTCTGCTGTGCTTGCACGAGCGGGGAAGCGGTTTTATTAAAAATCGTTCAGGAGCAAGACCAAGAACTTGCCGTCATCCACCTCCGTACTGTCTCCCAACCGCTCGACCTTGGGGTCTTATAAATGTAACCCCGCAATGTCAAGCCATGGTGCAATGTTGGGAGCACGGCACCACAATCCGGTACAACGTCTCCGCGCCCCACCATGTTGCGTGTGGGGTTGGTGCGGAGAGGACCTGTTCTCGTGATGTCTTGCCTCATCAGACCGAAGTGTCAAAGCGCGCCACATGCACCTGTGGGGATCACAGGTACGTTCCGTAGGGCTGTCAAAGCGAAGCGATGCACTGATCGGCTCACTTGTGGGGACGTAGCGATGTTTGAGGCGATACAGCTGCCTTAGCGAAGGAGCTATCCAGTCGCTTGTGAAACCTTGGCTGCTATTTAAATAAATACTTCCAGAGGGAGCAACTCTTCGGACTTCGACAGAACTGGTGCTAGCTTCAGCGTGATCCAACCTTCAACATTACTCTCTACCAAGTCGGTGCTAAAAGGCTAACTCAACGAAATTGGCACAATTGTCGACGTCTTGATATGAAGGTGCTGGGGCACTCTAACTGACTCTGTCACGTTTCTGGAGTACCATAACGTATCGACCAGTCCACCCAAACTACCCTTTGCTTTTCGAAATAGCAGCTCGATGGTGCCGGAATGTCGCGATTAGCTATTATTACCCTCTACACGATCGGCTCAGCTGTTCAGGCAAGTACTAAACCACTGGTTATGCTTGATACACGTCCCAGCAGCACAGCATGTTGGCCCTACAAAGCCTTGGCCGCCGCACTGGGCCCACAAGCGTGCGCACACCGGACCCGTTGGCTGGGGGACTGCAGTTGTGGTGCGAGTTACGAGAGTCGTGGTCGGGGGTGGTGGTGGTGGTGGGGTTGAAGGAACCCATACGGCTGGGCCGGGATAGGGGTACGACTTGGTTGTGCTCGTGTAGATGTCGAATAACAGACCAGCATCATCAGCCTTGTATGCCCCTGGGAAGGAGACAAATGATTCCGGGAAATCAGTGCCGGAGCCAGTGACTTGAAGCTGCGCACAAGCGAGGGAGAACTGAGGCTTCTGATAGGAGTGGAGTGCAATGTGCTCAGCGCGGAGAAGGTAGTTGCCAGGGCGGAGGCTTGCTGGGATTATCGTGGAGATCTCGGTCATCTCGACAGCGAACTGACTATTCATTCCGGGCGTGTTACCGTACTGATCCACCTTGAACCAGACATTACCGGTGGGCGTCCAGGAGATGACATCCTGGCCATCCGGCACCCGAGCCAGATAGAAAAGCACTGGACCGGGGTGCCCGATCGGAGCGCTGGAGGGAAATCTGATGCGAGTGCCCGGTGCAACAGTCTGCACATCCGAGACTGGGCGCCCCACTTTCTCATAGCAGCCCAGGAGTGGTGAGCTGACGTCTTCGATGGGGTTACTGACGGGATTGTTGGCGGTCTCACGAACGAATTCCCAGTCGGCCGAACGCCCACGGTTTACTGTGATGCTTCGAAAAAGATCTATTCTTATGTGGTTAGAGAATGAATCAGTTCATTGGCGTGCCCAAAACGTACAATTTCCGAAGGCGAAGGGCGCCAGAAGCCCAAGCACGACGGCTGTTTTCATCGTGTCAGAAGTATGAAGTCGTGAGTGGTGGTGTTGAGTTTGCGCATACCATTCGAGATGAGCCCCCGGCGGACAGGCTTATTTATCAAACAAGATCCCAGTCTGCGATTGTAGTGGCAGTGTCTGAAAGAGTGATATTGTTAAAGTTCGCAGTCCCCAAGGTCGTTGCGTGCGCCCGTCCGATATGACTTGCAGGTGCTTCGCTTATGAGAACGCATGTCAATGAATTGGCGATATCATTTATATTCAGCCTCAACATACTCTTCTCGTCTCACAACACCGACGAAGAGAATGGAGATTGCGTTGAACCTGCAGGTCAAGCCAAGCATGCCCCGGAAAGCTTGGCTCCGCTGACGAATGTCAATGTTTACCGCCAATAACGGTTTGCATTCGTGACGCCTCAATGTCTAGCGAAGAACAAAAGTTCCTGAAAATATACTCATAGAGTGCTACAGCCATCAGTCATGTGGTTTGAAGCCCCCCGCGGCGCGTTGTCCTCGCAGCAGAGACCGGCAGTATTGCTTCCGTTCCAAGGTCGTATTCGATATGATCTAAGTCTTGCTGTGTTGCATGGACGTCTTCTTCAGAACGTCTGGACCTCTGTGTTAGTACTCGGTCCTCAGTCCCCAGTTCCTGTGCCACATAAGTGCATGATAGGGAGGAAGGCAGCTCTGCGGTATTAGTGTCATGAGATCTAGAAGCGCCCCGACCAGATTTAGACCGGCTGAGGACGTGCAGGGGATAGACTTTGCGTTGTCTTGAGTACAGATGTCAGGACGAGGCCGAGCCGCACTAGGAAATTGACTCATGACAACTTCGGAAATCGGTTCAGCACGGTGTATGAGTCTCCACGCTTCAGCACCTGGTCGTATCGATTATCACGAGCAGGCGCATCTCACCAGACGTGCATCACTTCGCTGGCTGGCAAGTGCCGTTCTTTAATCTGCCTCAGCGTGTGCTTGCACATGATGCCTGCCCAGACACAACATCTAGCAGCACTCATTGTCTTTCTTCAGTTCATTTGAAGACTGTGGGGAGACACCTGCGGAACCACGAGACAGAAGGCTGGTTAGGGGCTGGAGATCTCGGGATGGCGTATATATGGGCTGTGGAGGGCCAGAAATCAGATCTGTTCTTGTTCCAAACCTCCAGACCTACATTCGTAGCTTCCTCTGATGCCACCATCTTCTGAGAAGGGTGACCGAGAGTCCCCCTCTACATTCGGTTCACTTCGACACTATGCACTACATTAAGTAATACCCCAATGGTTTCAAGAACTCAGACACTGGATGCATTCAATTTACGATCCCTCGTGCGGGAGCAATGACTAGGACGAAGACGATAGACAGAGAACTTGCGATCAGACTACTGTACAACGTCCATAGCTTTCTCGTGCTTTGGATATGATGCCTTTTCCCGATAATGCCCCACATGAGGAGCATCCGACAGTTTCAAGAGTCACGTAAATTGCGGCTCAGTTGACCTTTCCACTGGCGGCACAAAGCTGGACTTTGTGAGACTTGCTGCGGTGCCTCTAGGTCAGTCTTGGCCACCTGGGCAGCCCTGCCGGATCCCGCGATATCACAAACAGTAATGGCCAACACGTTGCGTCGACGACGATAATTGTCCAGCGACGCGCATTTGGGGGCGGATAAGACGGATTCGGCCCATACATTCCTACACGCCAAGAACATCAATGAACCGTCTTCAGCATGTTACCAGAATTATCACCTGGCCCGAAGTCCCCGGACCCTTGATCTCTGAAGGGATAACCCTCGCTGTCACTGCATGTAGCCCGCCGGACCAGCCACTCTATCAATAGGACTCGACCCGGACGACGACTGGGTCCCGAGAACTGAAGAAGACTAGGAAACCAGACGGCAAAGCGTATAAAGTGCCACGATGCCCGACTTCAAAACCATAATTTTGTTCGACAGCATACCATCACCATCACCTGATCACTCCCCTCTCAGCTACGTTCCGCGCTGCATTTCCAATCCATCCTCCTCCCCGGCCTCTTCGCCGCCACGACCATGGCCTTGGCCCTGCCAGACGCCGACATGACCTCTCCCACGGCTTGCAAGAAACGACCCTCTTCAAGCGCGACGACGTCCTGGGGCCCCGTGACCTTGAGCTCGCCGATGCTCACGGCGTCAACCTGACGGAGAGTGAGCTCCATCATCCTGCCTGATTCTGGCAGCATTCCTGGCAGATACTGACCACCGCCCCGCTCGCAGTGAACAGGCACTCCCTCATGAAGCGTGACGACGGGGATCACGTCACGATCTGGGTCGCCCGCAACTACATCGCGCACGACGACGGCGGCGACTCCACTGAGGCGGTCGACGACGACGACGACGACGACGACGACGTAGACGAAGAGGACCTCACCAAACGACAGAGCGTTCGCGTCGGCAAGGACGTCTTCTTCCACCGCGGAGCCCTAGGCGGCAAAACCTGCCTGAAGCACAAGAGGCAGAGCCAGACGGGCCCCAACCGGCCGACGTCGGGAGGCGTGCAGGCCTTCTACCGCTGGGGCGACCGCGAGGCCGGTAGCTTCATGCTCCACAGCCGCTGGCAGAGCCTGGTCATCGCCGGCTCCAACAAGGGCGCCAACGCCCTCTACCGGGCGAGTAGGGCCAGCAGCTTCCCGGAGCTGCACATCGGCAGCCCAACATCCGTAACGACGCCGACTGGACCCAGAAAAGGGCCCGTAGCTTCAACGGCGTCTGGAGGGCGTCGTCTAAGGGAGGCGAGACCTGCCAGCTGCTGATGCGTGCCAACTACGAGATCATCAGAGCAAAGTAGAATGTGTAAGCGGGGGTTGAGGAGAGGGGGTCAGGGGCGACGGGCGACGGGGCCAAACAAAGACCGGGGTTGGTCGTACGGTGGCCGTTGAAAGCCGGCGAGTAGCAGAATCATGGGTAGACCGTGTGGAATTCCGTTTTCTCTCTCATAGATAACGAAAGACCAACTTGAGCTGGATCAGCGACTGATTCAGGGACGGCATCGCCTGCTGCGGCTGCTTCAAAGTCCTGCGCGTGAGATCTCTTGACACCAGACTCACGCGCACCTCGCACTCGCACCGGGCGCCCTGGTCCCGCAGAAACATGTGGCCAAAGTGGACCGTCAGCTGCTCCCCGTACTAGATTTTGCGGAGTGCCTCGATCGCTATAGCATACGTCCCGGAGGCCTTGACCGGGCATATCCGTACCGACCCTTAGAAGTAGCGGTTTAGGTTGCGGAAGATACTATCCGCGCCCTCGACGTAGATCTGGGCTATCCTAACGTGTCCCGGTGTGTACGGGAAGTGCATGTCGATTACCTATAGGCTATCAGCCACGCACCTCCTTGGCGGGAGTAGCCGGCTTGAGACGCCACACATCTATGATTGTTTTAGGTTTGCCTTATACGTAAAGAGGGGAAATGTGTACGTAGTTTCCCTTTATCGATTACCAAGTATAGATAGGGGCTTTTACTGGCTCTTCAAGTAGCGTGTTAGTCCACGAACGGGCTTGCATGTTTTCCGCTGTGTGATCGGGGCCGTTATACCCCGCGTGGCCAGTTGCTTCACGCGGCCTTCTTCACCATAGTTATGAGTGTTGACGCTCTGAGCCATCCAGGGTGTAACCCGCCACGGCTGCGCTCTCGAGTGTAGCAAGTGCAGGTAGAGTTACCCTTTTAAGCCTGTTTAAAAGTTGATGCTATTGGGGCTTTTCTTGATGCCGTTTTACGCCATTCCTGCAACACAGTCCGGGCGTTGATCACTAGACGCTTGATAAGGCCGTCGCGGCGAACACTTCTTTGCATGATTATCCGACACATCTGCGGAAGCTTGCTGCCTGCAACTCAGTACATTGCTAAGCCAAGTGCCATTCTGAGCCCGGAAGGTTCTGGACTCATCATTGATTCCCAACTCAGGACGCACACATCAAGGCCTCGACACGTGGCGGCCAATGGCCAAGTCAAAGGTGGATACATGGAGTTTACTTCCCTGCTTGCCTGTTGCTTGCCTTTCCACAAGTTTTCCACGTGAGACGGCCAACAATGCTTTGGTGCTGCATACGGGCGTAGATAGTATTGTAGGTTATATCACATGGAAGACTTGTGGCAAGGCAGAAAATATGTCCCGTGATCTCTCATGCCAGGCAATATATACATCTCAAACGAACACATGCAGGGTGCGGGGATGCGGCGATTACTTCGGACGATATCTTTAAAGCCAAGCACGGGGCACCGGTCAGGTTCGAGGACAATCTCCGAAATCCGAATCTTTATCACAAGACGCGAGTCGCTGAAAACTGCCATGCCTGAACTACATTGCAGGGCTGAAAATTGTGCGGCAGCCCCCAACTCTGGGCTACATGATGGATGCGAATTGTTTGCCTTTTTGAGAAAGCATGCCGAGGCAGCTACCGGAGAAATACTCGGCAGCATGCAGTGGTGATCGAACACGGTCCGTAGTTGCAAAAAACGGCATTCGGGGCAATCGTAGATTTGCCCGTTTGACTTGTTCCGGAGCCTTTTGACCTGTGCCACTTACTTTAACCTGCGACACTAGTTCATGGATTTTCTCCAGCACCCTTGTCAGATGCCAAGAGTGCCACACTCCATCAAGCGGAGAGACATGTAGACAGCTTAGTTAGGGATCACCGGAGAATGAGATGCACAGAGGATGGGATGGGGCCATGCTATATAAGTCGTACCGCTCTTACAGTCTTGCCTCGTCCAAGGGATCTGGCTGAACCTGCATCTCAACTCTTAGTCATGACGAAACTCTACGCTCTTCTCTCCATCCTGGCGGCGGTGCCCGTGGCGGTAGCCCAACATCGAGGCACCCCCTTCGGCTTCGCCGCTGGCACCACGGGCGGTGGTAGTGCGGGACCAGTCTACCCCCAAAACAACCAACAGTATGTTTGACAGAATTCTCATCTACGGGCTTGGCCAAGATGCACCTGGGGACTAACCACTGCTGCTCAGACTCGTCAGCTACCTAACTGACAGCCAACCCCGTGTCATCATGATCGACCGCACTTTTGACTTCCTCCAGACAGAAGGGAGCGTGAGCACGCGCTGTTGCCGCCTGAACACTTGCAGCAACGGCTTACAGCCTCAGTCCTACATTGGCGATACATGCGACGGCGGTACCTGGGTCTCCTGCACTTACTGGAACGCCCCCAAGAATCCTATTGATGTCAAGAGCAACAAGTCCATCGTCGGTGTAGGCAGCAAAGGCATCATTCGCGGCAAGGCACTCCGTCTGCGCGGCGGTGTGAGCAACGTCATCATCCAGAACATCCACTTCACTGAGCTCAACCCTCAGTACGTTTGGGGTGGTGATGCTATTACCCTCGATGGAGCTGACCGCGTCTGGATCGACCACAACAAGTTCTCTCTGGTCGGTCGCCAGATGATTGTTTCTGGTTGGGGCGCCGCCGGCAAGGTGACGATTTCCGACAACGAGTTTGATGGCAGGACGTCATGGTCTGTTTCTTGCAACAACAAGCACTACTGGGCCTTGCTGTTGATCGGCGCGAACGACTTTTATACCTTTGCTGGCAACTGGTTGCACGACCTGTCAGGCCGTTCACCCCACCTGGGCACCGGTGGCACCTCATCAAACGTTGTCCACGTCGTGAACAACTATTTCCAGAATATCGATGGCCACGCCCTTGACATCCAGGGCAACGCTTGGAGTCTACTTGAGGGCAACTACTTCGAAAACGTCAAGGAGCCTGTCTCTGCGGGCAGTGGCAGTGACGGCGCTAAGATCTACGATATTCGCCAGGTAGCGGACGCTGCCAACGCACAGAGCGCGCTCGGCTACATCCCTGAATGGAACCGAAACGCTGGGAGCAGTGGCGTGCCCAAGGTGCGCCTCGACCAGGCAGCCCTACAGAAGCTCGGTCAGCACAAGAGCGCCATCACATGGTCCCACTGGAAGGTAGAGAACGTGCCTACCAACGTGAAGAACAACGCCGGCGTTGGAAAGATTCGCAATTAAGCGAGTGGCTTGGTGGTCTTGTTGGGATGGTGTTACTTGTCCCTCAGATCATGCTGGTGTCTTCAGTCCAGAGGAGCGATCTCTACGAACTCCGAAATAGTCGGAGCGGAGATTTATTCGTACATATTTGATTCGATTCTAACAAGTAAATATATGGTACCCAATAGTTATACTGAACATAAGTGCATTATCTCAGGCACTCAGTCTGCCTGGTGACGTTGGCTTCTGCTTATGAGGAAGATGACAATCGACTCAAGAGGTTCAAGGGGTTCTTCTGAACGCCAGCTCTCCCGCCAGTTTCGGTACCTGCAATGGAAGCCGCGTTCTGCCAAAAATCTTTTAAAATCCATTGGGCCTAAAATGAAAGACCTGAGAGGTGGTTCAAGAGTGAAAGGTTTGTATTCTCCTGCCCATAACGCCTCTAACTTTACTAAATACACGCTTTCAGGGGCATGGCTACCAGGAAGTCTCATGGAGTCACCACCTCCGGGGACAAACTGAAGACAACGCCCTTAAATTCACCTATAAACAAAGTACAAACTTGCGATTTGATCAAACCAAGTCCCATACCAAGCATTTCTACTCCTTGCGCTGAGCTTTGAACTCATACACTAGGCACCCGGCCTGGATATTCCCGCCTACGCCGCCATTGTTGCACCTCTTGTAGTTGTCGATCAAGATCTCCTGGCACTTGGTATGCCCTGGGTTCTCCTCCATCAGCGGGTTGGAAGCATATGCCTCCGTCTGGCCTCCCTCAAGCTCACAACCATCCTTCCACCACACCTTGTACCAGTATGGTGCGTCGTTGGTCACGGTGTAGAACTCCAGGAAGGTGTCGGGCTTGCCGGCTTGCACTGTCTTAAGCGCCGTGCCGGCGCAAGCCCATCCACTGTACTGCGATACCCAGCTCTCGTGCACGTCGCCGTGGCTGCCGAAGTCGTCGCGACCGTAGCAGAAGTCGTTCTGGAGCGTAAGGGACGTCTTCGGCGGTGGGGAGGGGGTTGGATCAGGCTCTGGTTCCGAGTCCTTGGGGTCATGCATGATGTACTTGGCAGTGCCGCAGTCGAGCGGGAGTTCGCCGGTCTTGTACTTGGTGTGCGAGTCGTATGAGCCTGTACACGTGTCAGTAAACCTTGGAGTCGTGACCAGCGCCCGGGGGATATGAAAATCTTGGAACGGGGGATTGAGAGCTTTGACGCACATGAAGTGAACTTTCCGAAGACATCAACGCAATTGTAGGCTGAGCAGTCTTTCTCGCGGCTCATTTCAAGGATGAACTCAAACTCCCACCCTTCGTACGATGTGAGCCCAACATCGGAGGTCTTCTTTGTCTCATGGATGCCGCCTGAGAGCAAGGTCTTGCCAACGCAAAGGTTATCGAGTAGTCTAACTTTGTGTTAGAAAGGGTACGACTCTAAGCAGTTGCGAAAGCAATTGCATTGAAAAGATGGCGCAATACGTACTTTGACCAAACATCAGACTCAACGTTTGCCAGATTGTTATCCTCGCCAGTCCCTACTTGGCATTTTGGGTTTGGAATATCGGCATTTGGGTCAGAGCCAAAGACAAACTGCGAAACCTCGTCTTCCACAGCCTCCCAGGCGTCGCCGAAGAAAGCCCCATCCTCAAACGTCACGGACGACACGAGACAATCGCAGTCTTTCCACTCTGCCGTGCACTTTGCGTTGCTGCCGCCCTTGCAACGCTCTCCCTCGCAAGCTGGTTGGGCTTCGGGACAAGACCCGGGATCAGATGGTTCATTAGGCTTGTTGTTCTTGAAGAAAGGCATGGGCTGCGGATCGGCACGCAGCTTCCATAGGTCCTCCAGGATGTTGACTGTGCCGAAAAAGAAGGCAATGGATCCGAGAACGCCAAGGACGCTTTCTCCAACGGTAGCCAACAATTCACCAGCCGTCGGGGTAATCTCCACAACCTCGTAGACATGGATGATCTCCAAGACGATTTCCTCTTCCGCGAAGGCCATCATCTGCTCGCTCTCTGCGAGAGCAACAGCGTCAGAGCCCGAAGCCTGGGCTACCTGCTCATTGAGGCGCACCATCTGGCGCATTGTATCGGGATCTTCGCGAAGCAGCTGGTTCAGGCGATTCACACGCTGGCGTACACAAGGAATGTCAGGAGGCGCCCGACGTTCGATGACGTTATGCTGGCGGTAGTCCCATTCCCGGCGTTTCCTAAGTGAACAGCTAGGAAGTTGCTGAGACAGGCCGTTGAGTTTATCCTTGAGCCACTGGCTGAGCGTGACCTCAACCTTGCCATCAACCATAGCCACACGGAAGCCTTCGGGAATTGTGGTTGTCTGCGGCGAGCCGTCCGGGCCCTTAGTTGTGATCGTGGCAACGCCGAAAGCGCTATCTGAATGCACCCACTATACATTGTCAACAAGAACGACTCAGAAAGGCGTGCGTCGATGCTGTGAACTTACTGCTGTCTTCGTCTGCTGGTCCGTGACGAGCTCTGTAAGGTACTGTGTATCAACACCAATCGGCGCCTTCCTGAGATTGGTGTTAGTTCAATGTCCTTGACAAACTCTTGTTTGAGGCGCCACTTACATGCTCTCATCAGGTGGAATATCGACTGGATCAATGCCGATCTGGCCAGCCTCGGTTGGTCTAATGGCTGCGACCCTTATACCATCAATTGGATTGAGGGTCTGAGAGGGCAAAGCATCCTGGGCTAAGCAAAATGGAACAGCCGAAAAGGCAAGGAGAAGGGGAGCCTTCAAGAACATCATAGGCAACTGTGACGTTTCAAAACTGGCTGGGGACGGAATTCGAGAACAAGATAAGTCAAGCTTTGGGAATCTTGCCCTTTATGTTGGTGCAATACAGGAGAGTGAGTGGCCTTTTTGTAACCAAGGCTTCAATGGCTCTGCCGGCTATCTCTCTCTACGATTCCTCCTCTCATCAGCACTTACTCCGTATGCAATCACTCTCTGCGATATTCCGCACGTCGATGAAGGATTCCGCACAGTGTTTGCATTCTTCATCACAGCCTCAAAGGTGTGGCGGACCAGCTCACCATCAGGGGGGGTGATGTTCTCATCATGAGTGGTTCTAAATCCATCTCACAGAAGTGTCATTGGCTTAGTGAGCTTCTACGGTGGTGCTGCCTAGCTATGACAGAAACATCAGCATGGGGTGACATCGCCTAGCCAGCGGCGGATTAAGCTTCACCAACCTGCGTTTGCTGCGACTCAGACCAGCCCGGATTGTTCGCCTCGTGAACCAGTCAAGATGGGCTCCGTTTCTCGTGATGGACTGCGCTAGAGCTTGGTCTAGCCGGGGTAATGTTCCTGTCAGAGAGCTCAGTAACCTATTCATGGTCACACAGCCCCCAATTGTGCCTGATGCCGACATCCCGGGGGTGAACCGGCCGCTTTTTGCCACTTCCTTTGGCCCCCGCGCTGTTGGAAATTAGGTTCGTCGCCCAATCAGGGCCCCCAAAGTCAACCAAGCGCGCTGAGTGAATCTTTGCCATGACAATTGAAGGAAGCGGTAATGACAGCCAAGGATTTTGAAATAAATGATCATGTTGAACATCAGTTAACCGCGGCACCCCTCACATGAGCTCTACACAGCCGGCGGAAGGAACACTGAGCTGATGATGGATGAAACTATTCTCGGATCTTATACAGTGTTCGACCCCACGAGAAGACTTTCCCTACACGTATGTTCTGACTTACATCAGGGATGAAGGTTTCTGTAAACGGAATCAATTCATGAGCGGCAATGTCGGTTTTGTATTTAATCAAAAGCCATCTGGCTAAGAAGTTCCTCGAAGAGTAAAGAGTTTTATCCAAAGCCCCTATAGCACTAGTCATCATTGTTCCTCGCGAACCTCTGGACATTATGTTGAAGAGTCTCATGCTTCTTGCCCTGGCGCAAGTCTCAGTCGCAGAGTGGAAGTATGCCATAGACAAGAAAAGTTGCAGTAAGTTTCCCCTCTGTCCACTCAGAATACGAGCATTAACGCCTCGGCATAGAGGACGGCATGTATGACCAGGTCAAGTTCTACATGGATCAATCCCAAGCCCAATCGCAGCGGGTCGTCGACGCATTGGACCCGTACCTTGGCGATCCGAACAACAAGCCAGATGATCGCATCTTGGCTCAGATGAGACAGTTGTTTCCTTCCGATGGTGTACCCACCGCCCGGCTGTTACATGGTCAGTAAATCTAATAGAAGCTTTCAGATTCCAGGGAAATGTTTGACTGATGAGACAATCGCGGATGTAGGTATCTATAAAAAGGTCACCCAATACGCCTATCAAGACGTGGACATCTGGGCGGATGACTACAGGCAAGCGAGAGACAAAGGAGACCTGGTAAGCAAACTCCATGGTGAACTCCTTCCATTATTTACGTGTTCGCTAATCAGAGCATATGTTTATCTAGGAGATCTTCTGCAACGCAGACCACGTTGTGGAAGACCCCAACAACCCCGAGAAGAACATCAAGTGGCGTGATAAAGCACAGGACTTGCCTGTTACCGACAAAGACGGCATCTTGAGTCTGAAGAACCCCCTCAGCTTCACAATGGCGGTCACGAAGGACTCGCGTCCGATATCGCGTGAGCAACCTTGGCCGGAACACTCACCCGAGTACATTGCTTTTCACCCCCGTTACATGAAGAAAAGCACGGAAAAGAACTCAATGCTCAACCACGATCGCGTCGAGAAGGCAGCCTACCCCTCGCTTTGGGACAAGGTCAAGGTGAAGCTACCGGGGCTTGACTTCGGAGCTGTTGACATTCTGGCAACGCCTGAGCTCACGATGCTGCATGAGTTGACGCATTTGCGTGCAGTTGCGGATGCGGTAGACTCGGAAGGAAGGAACAGTTATGGGTGGCTGAACTGTGTCAGGTTGAAGAGCTTCAAGAATGCTGGTAAGTACCATTTCTTGATCATCACGAGACAAGTTTGCTAATGCTCTATTTGCAGACAGCCTGGCCTACTTCGCCCTGGTAGTTGACTTGATTCAGCGTTACAAATATGATGTGGATGACAAGGGCAAGCTGAACAAATTTTCGTAGCTCTGCTGTGTTAGTCATGTAGTCTTACAATGGGAATATGGCGTACTTGTTAAAATTTCATGCGATCTATTCGAAATATGAATGGCCCACTTGAATTTGCGCTGCTGCTGCATAGTGGGCAATCCAATTCGCTGTTAATGTATTATCGGAAAGGGACTCTTATAACTTGCTGCCCTATGTGAATACAGGCGTAAAGGGTGACTCGTGTATCCGCCAGATCCCAAGCTCCTTCACTTATATCATCCACGAGAACGACGATGAAAGGGTATTTAGATTGGATATGATCAACTACCCCGGAGATACCAAGGCCTGCGATGAGAGAAGCCAACACTGTACACTGGCTCTGGCTGTTCGACCCCAGGCTCTGCACTATCCCACAGGCGTATGATGGTATGAGGCGAGCTTTCTGTCGTGTCCCCCACCCTGAATCCCGGCCAGCCCCTCGGGCGGACAGTAAAACGGGGCTCAATTTCAGCCACCCTCCTCCATACTGCGGGCTTCTCAGGATTAACGGGCAGATCTACTGTCAGGACTCGCGCAAGATGCTCGCCAAAAGTGAATGGGCTCGCAGGTCCATCCAGCACGGTGCTGAGCACGCCACGCCAGGTCGGCTCGCTCGTGTCGAGCCATAACTCCACCGATACCAGAGTCTTTCTCTCCGCGGCTTGGTTCAATGAGGCACAGCACTCGCGCCAGCGTCTCATTGTGCCATGGGCCTCGCTGCTCATCTTCATCTTGGACTCGCGCCTGATGGGCAACCGAATCGAAAGGCTCAAGGCTCTTATGGAGGATAACAACGGCGGCGCGCCAACAGCTGTCAGGCTGTGTAAAGTGTTGATGTCGTGGATGACGAAGTTGACGAAGCTGAAGATGGATGTGCGACCTTCGATGTAAAGCTGCTTGCAGACCAACAGAATGGCCAGAAACGGGTTGCTCCAGCATTTGCCATCTCCAAGGGCTACGCTTGACGTTGCCTCTCGGCCATACTCTTCTTCACATCTCCAGTGATTACCCCAACTCGATTGCATGCGTTGCCACAACTCTTTGTCTTCAAATCGGCTTGCTCTACGCTTGGCGCATTCTTCCATGAGTTCATCGGGGGCTGCGTGGTCGGTCACGCATCTCGCACGCACATATCGGCCTTTGCAGTGTATGATGTGCTGGGCGAATCCGGCATCCTTCCATAACTCTTCGAGAATCGCGATCCTAATCTCCAAAGGCAGTTGCATGAGTGTCGCGGTTTTCGGCTGCGGTCGCATCGTTGAAGCAATTGCGTGGTAGTCGGGATAGCGCGCAGGGGATCCAGTTCCCTTGCGCGCCATCAAATGTGAGCGTAAATACGCAAACCCCATCTGATTTGAAGTTGTGATTCCGTTCAAGATTGAACAGTTCGAGGCTTGAAAAAAGGTGGGAAAACTGCTAGTGCTCAATTGCGGCGAGCTTCTTATTTGTACCTAAGGATTGAGTCTCTCCATGACCAACGTACAGCATAAGCTTTGCCAGGGCATTGGGGGTCTATTTTTAGCGAGCTATTCTCGCCACGCCCCCCAAACGTGAGCTTCATGATGGCAAGTAATCCCCGGCGCACCTTGAATCCTCTTGATCCTTCGACAGGAGAGGTTTAGCTTACGCATTCTGGGCTCGCTGCCCTGCACACTCACCTGCTGCAACAGCGGCAGCTCTGCACTCGTGGGTGAGCTTTCTTGACTGCTGCGCGTTAGAGCTACGAAGCGCAATCGACATGTGACGACATGAGATCAATTGCCACTTGAGCAGCCAACGACGCCTCTTTTGCTTCTGGAGATGCACGTTGCACGAAGTTGCTCAAACAGCTCCGAAGACGCAGGTCCCCAGAAGCATGGTCCGTAATCCCGGGTGCCTTTTGGCGTACTGTCTGCGCGTGGATCAGTGATCCTGATAGCATTCACACAGATTCATCCCCTCATCAACGTTTTCCAGAGCACTGACACGATGGGCCTTCACGAGTAAGTTTCTGGCGGGGAGTGAGGCAAATCTATGTACTATTAAATGGACAGTCTAAAAATGCTGGTCAAATTCTCATAATCAGCTTGTGTATCGGTCCACTCGATCTAGCCCCAAATGATGGGCGGCATAATGCTGTTCTTTCTAGGAATGTCATGGCTGTAGCGGTCACTTTACCGAACCACACCACCTTGGCGAAGGAAGGCAATATCTGCATCATTTAAACCAAGCTCCTCTCTCAGAACTTCGTCAGTATGTTGCCCGAGAAGGGGAGGCGCGGATCGAATTGTCGGCTGCGATCTAGAGTATTTCACTGGCGAGTTGATAAGCTCCATCGGTCCACAGGACGGATGGTCTATCTCGACAATCATATTCCTTGCTCTCACTACCATAACAAATAAGCAGCTAGCCGACAACGAAGCCTCTAGAGTTGAGGGGAGGCTTTGCTTACCATGACGATGCTGAGTGGTGTCCATGAGATCATTGACCTTGGCATATGGCAAGCCAGTGCCGTCAAAGATGTCAAGCCACTCTTGCGTGGTCTTTGTGCTAGTGACATCTTCAATCCACTTCTCTAGCACATCTCTGTGCTTGACTCTGGCTGAATTGGTTGCAAAGCGGTCATCAGCAGCCCATTCCGGCCTACCCAGGCCCTTTGCTAGGATGGCGAACAATCGATCGTTGCCTCCCCCGAAAAGAATGTCACCGTCCGATGACTTGAACGCCCTGTAAGGAACGACGGAAGCTGATTAATAGGTCAGTGGTGGGCTGGAATCGTTTTAGATAGACTGACTTACGATGAGCTGTTCCCCAACGCCCGCTATCTCTCTCCTTCGTGATGAGCACTGACTGCGCCATATTAGATAGCGTGGCAACCTGGCAATCGCTGAGACATATGTCGAGATGCTGACCCAGATTGGATCGATTCCGTTCAAGCAGCGACGCCAGGATGCTTGTTGTTGCGTACATTCCCGTCGTCAGATCAGTCACAGCACACCCGACCTTGACAGGAGGACCATCACGAGACCCCGTGATGTGCATCAACCCCATTTCTCTGGTGAATCTGTCAGTGCTTGCACAGGGGACGTAGGGCTCGACACTTACGCCTCAACCATAACATCGTAGCCCGCGCGATCGCTGTATGGTCCGAACTGGCCATAGCCAGTGATACTCGCGTAGATGAGCTTGGGATTGAGTTTTCTCAGCGTCTCATAGTCCAAGCCGTACTTCTTCAGGGAGCCAGGAAGGTAGTTCTCCACGACAACGTCAACCTTCTTTGCCAGCTCGCGCAGGATATCAGCACCCTGTTTCTCCTTGAACGACAAGGCAAGAGACTTTTTGTTTCGATTCACCTGATTCGTCAGATACCATGCCTCGGGAATTTCTTTCAAAACTTACTGAGAGGTAGTATGCGCTTTCACCAGCAGGAATAGCAGAATCGGCGCCGTCCAAACGGGGCGCATACGGTGGGCCCCAGGATCTCGTATCATCACCACGAACCGGATGTTCTACTTTCAAGATATCCGCACTAAAGCAAAAAGCTCGATTAGAATCTGGAATCTGTATATGAGATCCTGATGGTGCTCAGTGTCGAAGGACAGCCTACCCCATGTCACCAAGGATCTGTGTACAATATGGCTACAACATGACGCGGCATTAGCATTCATCCGAACTAATCTAGAGGTTTCTATGATGCACCTACACCTGCAAGTACCCTGCTCAAATCCAGCACTTTGACACCGTCTAATGGAAGTTTGGCTGGGGCGGTGGCTGTAGCATGGCTGCGTGTAGTTCCCAAGGTTCTGAGGCAAGCTCGCGACGCCTGGGCCGAACGGATCCCCAGGTTCATTCGGAACATGGTGTGAGTGATGAATATGTAGATATGCAGATAAGGAAAGGAATCAATGTTATCCAATAAGCTCTCTTGGTGTGTATTGCTCTCTCATGAGGATCGTACAGAGTGTGCTTGCTCTTTTGAACAGCGCACACCAAGGGCTGCTGACACCCACCTCGTGAAGTGGTGTGGGACGTTGGTGGTTGGTCCCACCTTACTGGGATGGCAGCACTGTGGGGTTGACAGAGCCCCCGTTCACCACATGTTCCACCACAAGACGGCCTGACCAGAATTGAATGTTTTATCTGCATACTGGCATAGAATTTGGACATTGGTCGAGAAGATAGTAGTCTCTGATCAAATCAAGACTATGGGCATGGCTGGGTGCAGAATTTTAAAGCCCTCTGCTCACAACTCAGGATACGGGAACCCCTGAAGTCGCTCGCCCAATGTCAAGCATTTCTTCCAGCCAATCTCTGCGAGAAGTTTGCCTCGACCGTCCCGATACTTGGCATCATACTGCTCAGCGGACAAGATCTGAAGTTTGTGTTCGGGACCCACAGCTATCACGTCGTCGCTGTCTCGTTTTCCGTCGTGCGCAAACTCCAGTACTGCCTCAGCGAACCGCCTGCCCAACTCAACGTCTTCACGTGCGAGCCAAGGCTCAAAATTGCCAAGTAGATATGCAATGTCGAGAGCATGCGAAGCAAACCCATGTAGACCACCTGGAAGCGGGTTTGTCTGAGGAGCACGCGACGTCAGAATCTTGCCGGGAATAAAGCCAGGCACGGGCGAACTGACCTGATCCATGTGATACTGGCGGACTTTGACATCGTGGGGCAATCCAAAGCCTTTGCCTGCTGCCAATACTGGCGCATAAAACCGCAGTTCTGAAGCGAGCAGTAGCATACCCGTTGCCGCCTTGTCGGTGTCAAGCAAGTACGCTGTCCGGACCTTCTGGGTCAGATCAGACCCGAGAATATCGTTACATGCCGCAATTGTCACCTCCTTTGCATCCATTCTATCCAAGTACCGCGAGCGTAGAATGGTGCCCTGTCATGGCGCGGTTCGTCAGTTTTGTCTTGCAATGAGGAGATGTAGCCATATATTCGTACGTCGTGAGCCATGTCCCCTGTCAAAATGCTCTTGCACCACGTGTTCGTGATAGTGAGGTCTGCCGCACGCAGCCCCGGGAGGAAGTCTTCATCCAAAGTTGCGCTCCAATGCTGAACCATCGGCACTACTTGGACAATATCAGATGCCGGTAGCAAGCGAAGCTTGTTGATAACTTCTTTTAGATCTGAGTCGTCCAGTCCAAGATACGTAAGGTTCTCTCTGAGCATTGCTTCTTGCCAAGCCATTGACTGCGGCCTCCGAACTGTGATATCACCAGACATCAACAAAGCTCGATGGAATAAAGGGTCGCTCGTTGCCAGGAGCGTGGAGAGAGTAACTGGTCTTGCGTCAGCGGTCGCCTTTAAGCTGTGAAAGCGTCCTTCCCGATACAATACTCACTTCCTCCTGCTGATTCTCCAAAGGCGGTGATCGAGCCAGGGTCACCGCCGAATTCCCCAATGTTTTGCTGAATCTGCGAGGATGTGGTTCAGTACAGTTCGTGTTGAGAAGTATTGCATCATCCCACCATACCCATCTGAAAGCACAAGCTTGATCCTTTAGTCCATAGTTTCCCCGCAGACCAGCCTGTGCTGAAGCTAAGAACCCGAAGATTCCAACGCGGTAGCTAGAGGTTACTTAGCGCGCCGGCCAAAACACAGTGGATGAACCAGCAATCGCAACTCACTTGATCGAGACACCAATAATGGGGTTTCCATGATCGAGGGAATGTCTGACAAACTTGACAAGGTCTGAGGTTCGTAGCGTGAGCGTAAGCTTCAGCTCTGGATGGCTATGTTGATTCCGGAGCTTCGCTTACCATACTGAGGCCAGGCATTACTTCCAAGACAGAGCGCGCCTCTGAACTCAGATCAGTACCGACATTCATACACAAGTTCTCAAGGCCACTTTCGCCAACAACTGAAATGAAACAGGGCGACAAACCCATGAACCCTTTTATGGCTTGTCAGCGAGATATCCGCGGTGCTGAGGTTCTGGGGCACCTTACCAAACCATCACTGGCAATTTGGTATCTGGTGGAAGCTGCGAAGGTCTGGTAATCACCAGGTTTAGACAGTTATTCTCATTTTCTTCAATGTTTCTTTCCACCACAGGGAGATCTCCGACAAGGTTTACGTCCGCCCGTTGGGCTCCCGCCCCCTGAGGACAGGCAGGTCCGAACTGCGTCGCATCAAACAGGTCCGTACTGAGCTTTCCTTCTTGAATCACGGGGTCTGTCCATCTTGCTGATATGGCTGCATATGGTATGCCTCGGAATTGGTCGATGTTGCCGTCCTCGAGAAGCACGCCCTGTACGTCCCCCAACACCGGATGGTTGAGCACTTTCGTTGCGATACTGGACGTCGACATGTTGATCGGTGTAACGATATGGCTCCTCGGTTCGATCTTTCAGGCACAGACGCCGCAAAGCACGTACGAGCACTTCATGCCACCAGCCTCGTGGTGGGTGAAGCTCATGAAGAGGGGTGGGGGAGTGGGGGAGACGGAGTTCCGGCATGCGGGCCAGTACCCCACATCACTTTGCCGATGGTGTTGATGGTGGGGTAGCTCCCGATGTTGGCCTCCGTAAGTCGCTACAAAACTTTGGTGACAGGTTCCATGTGACATTTCTCAACAATTGTATGACCAATTTCATGAGCCGGCCAACTGTCGCATCTTGCCCTTCGTCTTTCAAAGGTTCAGCGTCCACAATGATGAGTTCGACAATGAATAGAGCACGAATCTTCGCCCCCAGTGTTGGTGCCTCTATAAGTAGGAGAGGCATATCGTCGACCCGGATTTGTTTTGGTATCAACAAACTGTGCAAATCAACATCCGAAGCCATTGGTCAAGTCAAGAGCGGTTCTACGGTCCTCGTCGGCGGATTCGGATTCTCTGGTGTGCCAAACACACTTGTCAACGCGTTGCGGGATCGCCCAGACATCACAGACCTAACTGTTGTTTCTAACAATGCCGGCATGCCAGGCGTCGGGCTGGGTATGTGAGATGCAATCCAACAGCTTCATTCATTAACGCCCTTAAAGGTCAACTACTGGGAACCGGCCAGATCAAGAAGATGATCGCGTCGTATATCGGAGAGAATAAGACATTCGAGAAACTGTACCTCACTGGTAAACTGGATCTCGAGCTCACACCCCAGGGAACCATGGCGGAAAAGATTGCCAGTGGCGCTGCCGGTGTACCGGCGTTCTACACGCCTGCGGGCTACGGCACAATCAGTGAGTCGCATTTTGAGCATTGTAGCTCGAATCATCAGCTAAGAGTCTTTTTGCGTAGTTCAAACTGGAGAGATGCCGGTCCGATTCAACACAGATGGAACAGTGGGCACCATGTCTACACCGAGGGAGACAAGAGTATTCAATGGAAAGCCGTACGTCCTGGAGGAAGCCATCCAGGCAGATGTCGCCCTCGTCAAAGTGCACAAAGCAGACCGTATGGGCAACTGCCAGTTCCGACGAGCGATGAACAACTTCAACGAGTCGATGGCCAAGAATGCCCGTTTCACCATTGTCGAGGCAGATGAGATTGTTGAAGTCGGCGAGATTGCACCTGAAGACGTCCATATTCCAGGCATTTACGTGGACCAGGTGGCGAAGAGCACCGAAGAGAAGAAGATTGAAAAGCTGACGTACCACAAGTCTCCAGAAGAGATGCTCAAGTCGGGTGAGTGGCTCAATACTAACCGCCATCGTGGCTGTCACAATATCGCTAACTCATTCATAGTGGCTGGAGCAGGAGAGGGCGCGGGCCGCAGGATCAGGATCGTAAAGCGAGCTGCTCAAGAGCTCAAAGATGGCATGTATGTCAACCTTGGCATCGGCATGCCTCTCGCAACACCCGCTTTCATCCAGGAGGGCAACGAGGTCGTCTTGCAATCTGAAAATGGTATTCTGGGCATGGGCCGATATCCCAATCCAGGCGAAGAAGACCCTGACTTGATCAACCCGGGCAAGGAGGGAGTCACGGTCAATCAGGGGGCGTCGTTCTTCGGCAGCCAAGAGAGTTTCGGCATGATCCGCGCGGGCAAGATCAACTTGACCATGCTGGGCGGCTTGCAGGTTAGCAAAGACGGAGGTGAGTGCTGGAAATCTTTTCCAAAAGATTCGTATTTCCAGCTTCTGACATTTTAGATCTCGCGAATTTCATGCTGCCTGGTAAGGTCAAGGGCATCGGCGGAGCCATGGATCTCGTTGCAAACTCGAAGACCAGAGTCATTGTTACAATGGTATGTGACGATACTTCTGTATATTCCATGAAGTTCAACTAGAACTAACCCGTCGCGTCTGCAGGAGCACGTTGACAAGAAGAACAACCCCAAGATTCTCAAACGTTAGTAAATGCTCGAGCATGCCATGAGATCGTGACTACAGGCTGACTCTGTCCGCAGAATGCACATTCCCCCTGACTGGACGCAAGTGCGTGTCTAGAATTATCACCGATCTCGCTGTGTTCGATATTACCCCGAAAGGATTGTTGTTGGTTGAAAAGGTGGAGGATGTGTCGCTGGATGAGCTTCGCGCCAAAACCGAGGCAGACTTTGATGTGTCCCCTGACCTCAAAACATATGAAGTATAAGTAGGATCCCCATTCATTCTTATGCATGGACTCAGGCGTCGCGGTAAAGGGCGGGTTACATAGATGTTTAAAAATGTGCCAACACCCATCAGTGGACCAGTTTGGCGTTCATCACCATTGTCATCATGAATGTCACTTTGATGGTTAAAGGAACATGTTGTATTGCAACTCAATATTACTGAATATCATGACTATTGAATCATGTCGGCACTAGGTGTCTCTGCTGTCAGCAACATGCCGAAGGCAGCTAGGTATGCAGCAAGATGCTAAATCTAATTAGATTGCACTATCTGTGCTTCATCTGTACCACGACAAGCGAAGGCTAGGCAGAGGCTGGGTGGGAGGGCGGTTGACGCACGCCTCTACAGCGCTAAGCTCCCCTGGGGAAAGTTCGTTCCAGCGCGCTGGGCCGCCCGGAACACGCTGGCTCAAGTCACCAACCCTCCGAATCGTCTGCTGATGTGTGTCCCACATGTGTGCTCTCTCGTCCCACATGCTCCCACATGTCCCACATCCGAACCTCCCACACGTCCCACATCACACGAATACGCATCCCAGGGAACCCTGATGGAGAAGTGAATCTTGGCAGAGGCACCTGATCCGAAATAGCCATGCTCTTTATGATCCATGGAGTCAGCGACATGCTTCTGATTCATGAAATCCGATACCCTGGTTATGGTACTGGTTAGCATGGTTTCCTGCTGGCATGCTACAGGTTATTGCCGGGTCCAGAACAGGTGCCAAGCTCAACCCCCGATGCAGGCACTCGCATGAGATCATGATTCTCAACCTAAGGGTCCATGTGATGGCTAATTCAGGGCGTTCGGCACATGTTGTGAATTGGAGACAGTCATTTCTTGCAGTTGCATGGGATTATCATTTGCTACGTATGGAATGGCCTAGCCTGTAACCATAGCTAAAATCTCCCGAACTTGGCTCTCTTTCGTGATCGGGATGGCGTTTGTAGTGATCCAATGATCTGTCAAACTGTTGGTGACGAGCATGTCCAGCTTGTTAGGATTGAAGCCCACGTCATCCAGCGTGCGCGGCATGCCCAGGTTGCGCAAGTAGATATCCAGAATCGTAGCCAAATCCGCTTTCGACTGGTCAACATCTTCCGAAGCGAGCATCTCAGATATTATTTGACTCTCCCGCAGAATCTGGGTGACAACCGCCTGCTTCTCCACGTTGATCGGCTCCTGGCTGTTGAAGGAGCAAACAGCCGGCAGCAGAATGCAGCTCGTCTCGCCATGAGAGACTCCCAGCGGGCCGAGCTGATGCCCTATGGCGTGGCTTCCGCCCAAAGGGACGCCACAGGAGACGGCTCTCATGGCCTCGACGACACCAGTCTGACACTGATGCCTAGCTTCGAGGTCTTTTGGGTCTTGCTTGCACTTGAGCAACGCCCCCGCTAGCCTCTCGAGCCCTCGTTTGGCCCACGTGTCTGCCTCTTCGTTGCTCAGTAGAGAGCAAAGTGTCTCGACGCAGTGATCGACGGCTCGGATACCTGTGCTGAGCCAAATGCGTTCCGGAGTTGTAGTGCAGAGTTCGGGATCCTGGATGACGAGATCTGGATCGCGTATGGGGTCGAACACCATCTTTTGCTGCTTCTTCTCTTCGGTAGCGCCGGCGATGGCTTGATATTCACCTCCAGAGAGCGTGGTCGGAATGCAGATCAGGGGGATACTGGGTTGGATCCAGTTGTGTGGCCTTTCTCCCCGTATCGAGCAGATGTCGGCGACGGAATAGACCTTGTTTGCCAACGCAAATCTGATGAGCTTGGCTCCATCTGTGATACTACCTGCGCCGAGAGTCACTAGGCAGTCGACGCCGAGATCTTTGGCCTCGGCGATGATGGGAACAAGTTCTTGGATCGGTGTGTGGGAACCGATTCCGACATGGACTCCCGCAACCCGGTCACCCAGCGCCTTTTTCAACCTGTCCAGCGCATCCGTGTTGCGTGTCAAGCTCGCCGACGCGATGATGTATACACGGTGGGAAGAGAGATTGCCATTGACATGAACGGCGCAGGCTTCAGGAAATGGTAGCCCGTAGCTGACAGTGGGCGTTGACTTGATGTCGAAGGCAGGGTGAGATGTTTCGGAGCTGAACCAGGTCGCCATGTTGAATCTGGTGGTACTTTGCACTCGCCGAGGACTGTCTTGATCAAGTCTGCACGGCGTCGAAATGGGCAAAATTTCTTGTGCAGGAAGGGTCGCAAAAGGACTTCACGCGCCTCAGAAGTCTGGGACGACGGGATGATAAAAAGCACTGCAGTCTTTCAGTCCACATCCGACTCCACATGACGTTCGGCGAGCCTCACCATTCCATGATGTGGTGACGCCCAAATCGACATTTCGATGCGTCCATGTGGGGTTCAGCTCCCGCCTGGACGATCCACGAAACTCCCCCACGCTGCCCACACGCATGGGCTGGAAGCATCGTCTGCCCGACTTCACCGAGCTTGCTAGCCCCATCGGCAGTTTGACTTATACCTGTACCTACCTGTATCAACCTTCCCAGGAAAGTTCAAGCTTGTAAATCAGTCGAAGCTTGACCCATTGCTTGTTTGATGGTCTTCTCCCAATATTGAAACCCGCCAAACCCCGACCATCACTAAACTGTAGCTGAAAGAAAAATGGCGTTCCGAGCAGTTGGACAGAGCATACTGAAGAAAAGCCCCAATGACGTGGTATTCCTCTCGGCTGTGCGAAGCCCGATCACCAAAGCTTTCAAAGGTGGGTTCAAGGATGCTTGGCCGGAGGATATTCTAAGACCTGTAAGAGGAAACCCAACCGCCCACCTCCGGTACCCAGCTGGCGGGAACTGACAAGCGCGACTTCGTGCCTCTAGGTCATGCGGGAAGCTACGCGCAGGGCCAACATTCAACCTGGCGACGTCCAAGATGTTCTGATCGGCAACGTCCTCGCCGAGCTCGGATTCTCCAAGACAGGCAGAATGGCGCTGAACGATTGCGGCTTCCCCGTTTCGACAACCTTCCACACCGTCAACAGGCAATGTTCTAGCAGCCTGCAAGCCATAACACACCAGGCGCATGCTATCCTGGCGGGCCAAATCGACGTCGCTTTAGCCGGTGGCGTCGAGAGCATGTCGAAGAACTACGCCTCCCGCGGCCGTCCGACTGACGTTTCGCCTTCACTTCAAGCCTCGACCGTCAAACATGCAACCGACTGTCTGCTTCCTATGGGTATCACGTCGGAAAATGTCGCGCGGCGATACGCTGTTTCACGCGAGGATCAGGACGATTATGCCTTTCTGAGCCACCAGAGGGCAGAGGCAGCACAGGCCGCGGGAAAGTTTGACTCCGAGATCGTGCCCGTCACGTACAGCTCGCCCGTCGAAATTGATGGGACAAAGCAGACGACAAGGTTTACAATCTCGCGTGACGATACCATCAGGCCTGGCGTAAAGAGAGAAAAGCTTGGGACGTTGAAACCGGCGTTTGCCGAAGATGGTGCCAGCACCGCAGGCAACTCGTGAGTTAGACAAACAATTGGCGTGCTTGTTTCCCCCCAAGTAACAAAAGTCGCAGGTCGCAAATCTCAGATGGGGCGTCATCAGTCATCCTCGCGCGGCGATCATGGGCCGATTCCCGGGGGCTGCGACCCATCGGTCGCTTTGCAGGGACGCAAGTGCTGGGATGCGAGCCGGACGAGATGGGCGTTGGACCGGCGCTCGCCATTCCAGCGTTGCTCAGGTACGCCGGAGTTGAACTGAAGGACATCGACGTGCTTGAAATCAATGAAGCTTTCGCAAGCCAGGTTCTTTATGTTCTTCGAGCCCTAGGACTCGACGTCGACAAGGTCAACCCGAATGGGGGTGCTATTGCGCTTGGGCATCCTACAGCGGCTACAGGGGCGAGGCAGGCGGCTACATTGCTAGCTGAGCTGGAACGATCCGATCGCGAGCTGGGGATCGTCAGCATGTGCACAAGGTAAGTCGATTGAATCCCCCCAGCTCGAATTTTCTGAGGTAGCGGCTGACGTGTTTCGCCAACCAGTGGAGGACATGGGGTAGCATCGTTGATCATAAGGGAGTAGTAAACATGGAGTCGCCGAGACGGTGAAGACGAGATAGTTGCCGATCGATTCACAGCGCTCAGCTTGTGCCAGTGGGGCTATTGGGTGTTGGTCTAGAAACACCGGGAGTAAAACAAGTGAGAAAGTCAGACGGTCCTTCGGGATGAATCAAGTATCCCACGGTTCGCTCGGCTATGATTACCGCCAATGTCCGTTGCACTGAAGGAGTCCTTTAGGGGACCTCGCGCCCAAGCCACGGTCTCGATCCATAATAGAGTTCGAACTTGGCCCTCTCAGGACAAGCATGACGCCCCCCAGACTGTCCAATTGCAGTAGGGGCGATGTCAGGCCAGGGATCTAGGGGTCTCCCCACGTTCCCCGCCTTAGGAGCCCCCTGACCATTCTACTTCGGTAGAGGCGACGGATTGTACAAGTAGGGTGGGAGGTCCACGGTCGCTCGGTCTGCGGCGCCGGCAAGCATCGTTACGCTCTCCCCCCGACAGCCTCGACCAACCTTTGCAACGAGATATACATCCACCAATCCTTCAGAACTCCCGCCTATTCAGGTCCTCGTTCATGCCTGCTCGAACCTGTTCATACTGCGACGGCAGCTTCTCCAAGATTGAACATCTGAAGCGCCACGAGAGGTCCCGTATTTCAACCCCCAACTCGCGGCACTCGCGGAACTCGAGACCGTGACATCTGGCTCACAGGAAGGCGCGAACAGATACCGGCGAGAAGCCTTACACTTGTCGACTTTGCAACAAAAAGTTTGCGCGCGGGTAAGTCAGCTCGAATTCCGGGGTTGCGGGATACCATCTGCGTCTGAGAGTAGCGGGGCTAATGAGATGCCGATCGTCTTGATGCAAATAGTGATGTCCTTAAGCGGCATATCAGGGGCCACCTAGCCCAGAAAGAAGGC